GAAAACAGTAAAAGCGATATGTTTAGAATTCCAAAATTCTGTGGACGTTTTCGTAAAATGCAAGAACAGCAGCAAGAGGAGCAGCAGCAGCAGCTGCCGGCAGATGCTGTAAACTCTCTGCACGGCAGCCACATAACAACAGTACCAGCAACAACAACAACAACAACAGCAACACCAGCTGCATTAACAGCCCAACAACAGCGCAAACTCAGCTCCATGGAGCCATCGATGGATGATGCTCTGGCAATTGGCACTCAAATGACACGCAAATTCGCTGAACGTTGCCATTGCCTGATCGCCCAGCTGCATGGCACCCGCCTGTACACGTGAGTCTCATTTAAATCTTCCTAATGCTCATTTCATCATGTGACAAATATATGTATATATGTGTGTATGTATGTATGTATACTGAAGAGATACAGACGGCAAATTGGCCCCTTATCAATGGCATTATCACGGCGCTCGATCATGTCAATCACGCGAATGAAGATTACGCCCATTCGACTATTTCACACACACACACACACACACACACACACACATACACGCACGCCTCTCTTTCTGTACTTTGTCGTCGTTCTCGGGTGTTTTCAGTTTCATTTTGCGTTTACATTTTTTCCACTGTCTGCTGTCGTCTGTTATGCAAACAGCCAATGGGCGTGACAACAGGAGCGAAGGGCACTGTATAAAAGCCACTAGAAATGAACCTGTAGCTTTTTAAAAGCTCGCACTGTGCGCTGCACGTGCTTGGTTCGTTGGCCAGAAAGCTTCTTTTTAGGTTAACAGTGGGGTGGGGAGGGGGCTCTTTGGCACGTCATGTGTTATCATCATTTCTGATGAAATCTTTATCACGGCGCATGAAAACTGCTTTAAAATTAACAGCTTTTTGTTTATTTATTTCTTGCTTTTGAAATGAAACGTTAGCACAGTCTCAGAATGCTACGCAGCTTTGCCAAATGATTCATCCTGCGTGTAACGCCCCCTGATACACATATGTATGCACACGTATGTATATATGTAGATACAGATACAGATACAGGTAGCCAACAAAACTGACGATATTTTCTTATCACACTTTATTTATAAATAATAACCAAGGCCTTGACCATAACTGTGACTCAACGATAAATTCTGTGGGTGACCCATTCGCAGGGGACTATAATGCCGTTATCGTAAAAAAAAAAGCCTAATGACGTCGTATCTCTGCCATGTCAACAGAATTCCAGCCCACAGGGTACAAAGTGCGAGCTGCTATGTTAACGTCACAGGCGACGTCGCCGTCGACGTCGACGTCGACGCTACAGTCAGTGCCTGGCGGTTGGCAACGTTGGCGACACTGTTAATTTACTGAGTCAGCTAGCTCTCTGGGTTTGACGGCTTATCGTAAACGACGGCATCGCATTGTCAGCTTGGAGAGCAGCTGTTCAATTGAACAGCTGATTTACGATTTCGCTCTCAGCTTCGATTGAACCTGTGCGCAGCAGCAATGTGCCAAGCAGCGACAAGTGTTAAATTATCTTGCCGCGCTGCTCCCACAGTCGTTTAACATATGCAAGTGCTGGCACACACACACACACGTACGTATCTACGTATGCGCGTGTGTCTGTAGTTTGCAAATTTGTTGTATTAAATTTAGTGACCATTGTCGCTCCAATTATTGTTGTGCAAATGGCAAAATACGAAAATACATACATACATATGTATATGTACAATATTTGGTTGCATGCTTTTTTGCACGTACGCCACTTTCGACTCTATTCGCCGCAATGTCTACCGATCGTCAAAGCAGCACCAGAAGCAGCGACGTCGTTAAACGTCACATACATACATACATACTACACATGATCTATGCCAATGCGACAACCCAAATCACAAAGCGTATGCAAAAAAAAGCTCGTAAAACAGACGAAACGCAACAGCAGCGCAGCGCAGCGCAGCAGACGCAACGCAACGCAGCAAATGCGTAAGCAGCAACCGCAAGTACAATGTTCGAGCGACGCGTCGACCGTCGCGCCTCTCAGTGCAAACCACTCGATGTTAGATAAGCGCTCATTATTGCTTATTCTGCTGCTTCTGCTGTTGCTGCTGTTGCTATTGCTGTCGTCGACGCTGCCTATCTGAGGGGGCAGCGTGAGGGCCGTGCTATTATAAATATTGGCAAGTGCAAAAGTTCGAAGCATATCTAATCGCGGCTAAAAAAGAGGCAGGTGGGGCGGCACGTGTAGGCGTTAATATATGCATTTGTATCACAATATTCAAAAGGCCAATGAAAAGAGTAAAGATGTATGACTTTTACATTATAAGATGCATGCCCTAACATTCAGCCTAACATTACAGCAAAAGCTAGCTTAACAGCTTTCTAGTTCTGTTTCTCTCGCTCACTCTCTCTCTCTCTCTCTCTCTCTATGTCTATTTAACAGTATCCTGACGCGTACCACGCAGCCAGCGCATTTGATGGCCATTTTAATATTATCCTTTGTGCTACTGACCGTTGGACCCGATCTCAGAACGACAACAACAACGACGATGCACAGCAGCCAGTTGGCAACAGCAGCGATACATACAACAACAACGACGCAGGCTGCCGCCGCTGCCGCCGCTGCTGCCGCCCCAATGGTTGGCAGCACACTGGCAACGCTGGCATATCTTGGCGCATTCGCCACACACTTTGGCTCACAAATCTGGATGACCTTTGTCTCGGGTAAGTTTCCAATGCATATTCAGCGTCGCTGCCGCCGCTGCTGCCGCTGCTGCTGCTGCTGCTGCTGCTGCTGCTACTGCCGCAACTATCGCTCGCCATCTTCATCAATCATCAAATGTGTCCATGTCAATGTCAAACTGAATGTCAACCAAATCGTAGGCATTATCCATAAAGCTCGCTCACACACGCACACCCTTCGTTACTTATCGTTCTTCTTCCTTTCCCCTTATCTATTACAGGCCTTTCGCTGTATTTCTCGCTGCCGCGTCACACCTTCGGCCAATGCCAGCAGATTCTGTTCCCCAAGTACTTTGCGCTGAACGCAATGCTGAGCATCAGCATGCTGATCATTTATGTCAAATACTTTCTGAGCGGGTGGACAACGGCGGCGGGTGTGCAGATGGGCACACTGGCACTGACCGCTGCCATCGAGGTGGTGGTGCGTTTATATTTGGCACCGCCCATGCTTCGACTGATGCACGAGAAGTATAGGATCGAGGGCGCCATCGGCAGTGGCCAGGAGGTGGGCAGTCTGGTCCAGGGTGATCTGGTCGAGTGTCCGCATTATCAGCGCATACATAAGGCATTCCGGCGCATACACATGACCATTGCCATTGGCAATATGATTGTGCTAATGGCCACATGTCTGCAGTTGTATTTTCTGGCATTGAAAATACGAATTAGCTAAGACGCGAACCACTGGGAGGCCCAGCCGCAGCAGCAGCGCTAACATTTTCGGGCAGCGCCTGAAAGGCTGCCACGGTTTTTTGTTTTCTCCCAAATGCAAAAAGAATTTATAACATTTAACATTTGTAGCGCAATTAAGTCACCATGACATCACACACACACGCGCACACACACACATACACACACACCTACATGCACACATATAAAAGTTGATATTGTATTTTACTGTCAATGATTGTCTCAAATTAAATTATTAACTATATACGCGTAGTTTATTAGACAATGTATTTATAATAACCACCACATCAATAACAATTATCCCATGCATATAACAACAATAAACTAGCTAAACGAAATATCGAGCTCAGAAATAGCATTAAATCGTTTGTGCAACATTTTCAAATTGTTTTGAAAAACCTGTGATAAGACTCACCCCGCCTATAATTCAAGACCCCAGCCCATTTCCCACTCACAACACATGCACAGAAATAAACAATCACACACATGCACACGCATGCACACGCATGCACACGCATGCACACGCATGCACACGCATGCACACGCATGCACACACATGCACACACATGCACACTTAAACGCACACACATTTTGTAGTTTAGCCGCGTAGCCAATAATTTACACACAATTGTTAATTAATAGCATTTAGTTATCACACATTTTTTTTTCAACCCAATTTTTTTTTTCTAATCATAAATTATCGAAATTATTTATTTGTTAAGGTTATGTGCATTTGTTTTCGCAACTGAAACTGAGAAAATACAAGAATTCAAAGCAAACAAAAATATGAAATAAAACAAAAACAATAAAAAAAAATAAAACAATGTATTATTACAAAGAAAAACTTCTTTTAATTTGCAATAGATACCATTTTGGAGCACATTCAACATTTGCTTAAATCAGTTGCGAATTAGAACACAGACTTTCAGTAACTGGATCGATGCAAAATTTACCGTTTAACTTAATGTGAATGCATTTGTTTACGTTATGTGTGCGTATTTTGAGCATATACCCTGTAAATATATCACACTATGAACAAAAATGAATATCACACTTGGCGAAATGGCTTCGGCCACGCCCACATTCGCCTCCCGTCAATATAAACAATAAAGAATTCAATTAGCCTAGGCGCACAGTTTGAAAGTCGCGAACTCTATAAATAAGAAAAATCTCTTCGACCGATCTAATCGGTAATTGCACTGTGCAGAGAGTATGGCGAAGTCGGTTAAACCCAACTGAATTGTTCTGACAATATATTAAACCAAAGTTGATACATAAATTAGGCGGGTTCCGCTTATATCTAACTTGGGCTTTCTTTTGATCAAACGAATCAGAATGAATCACAGAAGTAATCACCGACTATATGCAGGGTATATATATATATATATATATAGTTTAATACTCGGTTATCCGGTTTTTTGGAACTTATTAAACATAATACTATTTGGAATATTTAAATGTGACTTCTGTTAAGCGGAACTGTCGATTTTCAGCAATGATAATCACAGACAATCGAGAATCAATTGTATATGGTATCGATAGCTCGATTATTAATTTTCCAGTGTTGGTAAGTAGTGTGTAAGTGTTCACTTACCGCTTCAATTTCCTGATCGAAACGCACCGGACGCAGCCGGCAGAGCACCACAATGAGATAGATAAAGTTGATGCCAATGCCAAGCCCGGACCAGAGCACCACATCCGGAGTGCACTCAATCAGGTAACCGTACATGCCCATCATGATGCACCCAATGAGCAGGGTGGCGCGCATCCAAAGCGAACCAAATGGACCGTGCGGCGCCAAAAAGGCCAGAAAGAGAAAGGCCCAGCCCAGCTGAAAGTACAGATGATGCGGCTGCTGCCAAATGAGGCACTGTTCAATCGACCAGTCTCCGGGATTAATGGAGCGCAGGGTGCCATTGTTATCCCAGGTGATGGTGCCACTGGCGGCACTGGTGCCCGCCGTGCTCTGCGCTATCAATGTGCCAGCGGAGGCTGCAGCCACAGCGCTGCTGCCAGCACTCGCTGCGCCGCTGCCGCCGCCGCCGACACCAATTCCCATGCTGGCGCTGCTTCCGGCACTGTTGATCAGTGCGCCAACTCCGACGCCGGCCGCACTGCCTGCCGTGCTGGGCATGTCGTTGATCTTTGTTCTCTCGCTCGCGCTCTCGCTTTCTCTTTTCTTCTCGTTCTCGCTCTCGTTTCGTACTCGTACTCGTTCTTCTCTTTGCCCACTCGTTGCTCAGTCTACTCGCTCTCGGCGTTTTGTATTGTTTGTTTGGTTCAGCAATTGGTTGTACAGTTGGTTGTTGTCTCCGCTAATGCGTATGTTGTCTTCACGATGAGCTCTCGCAGCTTTCTGTTACTGCTACTGCTGTCCGCTACTGCTACTGCTACTGCTACTGCTGCTGCTGCTGCTGTCGGCTTCTTCCGGTTTGGGTCACATCGCTGCATATTTCACCCAAGGCACTTTAGCTGCAATTAGAGTGCACAAAAAGCCATCGAAAGGCCATAATTAAAAATCGATTGAAATCAATTAAGCTCGTTAAAAGTTAATCCTAAATGTTGGGAGAAAACTCAGCTGACAGCAATTGAACATCGCCCATTAAAACAAACAGCTGCTTTTAAGTCTTCTAATTAATCGTATTTCACTAACGAAATGCTCAAATTTCACAACAGCTGGAATAGCTGGAATATATTTACATAACTTTTTTGTATGTTTACAATAAAAACTCTTTTAGCACCATCTCGTATATATGTATCATATCCTAAAACAATATTTGACTTGACAATCCGTTCACCTTGAATTAATAACAGAACATTTACAAGTTTCATTCCCTCCAAGAGAGTTTTCATACTCTACACTAGCCATATGAAAAATTATGCCCATATTCATACTCTGAACTCCATTTGAATCGGTAAAAAGAAAACCAAAACTATCTTTTTGATTATTCTTGATCTACAAAAATTAGAAACTTAAACCGTTTTTTTCTCCCAAACACAGATCCAGAATCCCATTTCTATTAATATCACCAACAATTTGCATAATATCGATAAATATCGATTTCTGGACATGTTTTCTATGCATATCTCGAAGATTATAAGAGCTACAGACCCCAAATTTGGTATGTGGATTCTCCTAACACACAGATTTAAATATTTCACTTTTTGGATCCATTCCATTAATTTTGTTATTCCAAATCTATCAATATCTACCAATGCTCTAACAAACATTTGTAGAACATTTAGTTGTGGGACAGAATTTTAGATTATAATATAATTCATTTCATTTCAGAATCTTAAGGATTATGACATGATATAAACATAAGCGTATGTTGCTTTATCAACTGTCCAAGCCAAATATTCAAGAATTTGACCCAATAATTTATTTGATAAGAACTGAGCCGGCAAAACTTTAAAAGATAAGTTTATCGGTGAAACTGAAAATAGGCATTTATTTTTATTCTTTATTAATAATCAATGATAGAAGTCATATATCATATATGTGTATATAGTCAACTTAGAAACTTATCGGTCAAATTTCTTCATTTCCGTTTCAATATGTGCTTATGCTGAGATTGTCGAGTTGATTTTCAAATTAAACGAGAATGCAAGTATACCCTTGTTGACATTTGCCTTACTGAGTTTGATGAAAATATCAAGGGTTTATTAACTGTTTGTCGATTTCTCAATCATAACGCGACTTTGAGCGGGCTAGCGGATACCCTGAACCCTCTTCTTCCAACATCAAATATATATATATATATATTTTAGAAGCTATATGTCAAGTTTGGTGACTCTAGCTCTTATTATTTACCAAAATTGCCCAAAAAACAGGATATCGATATCGATTTTTATCGATTGCTTGGAAACGGAGTAAGTTATTATCCATTATCGGAAACAAACTCGATCTGCGCAGGCACTAGGAGCATCTACATCTAAAATTTTAAGTCTCTAGCTCTTATGGGTTGTGAGATCCTTGCGTTCATACATACGGACGGACGGACGGACGGACGGACGGACAGACAGACGGACATGGCTAGATCGACTCGGCTATTGATGCTGATCAAGAATATATATACTTTATGGGGTCGGAGATGCCTCCTTCTGCCTGTTACATACATTTGGATTTTGCACAAATACAAATACTTAAAATCTATTCACTTGTAGAGTATTAATTTTTTCGGTTAACTCAACTCGTTTCACACAAAGTTGAAAGAAATAGTTTAATTTTGTAGGGGTACATCCTTGAGCTTTGGTATGCTCCGTTTTCTGTATGCTATAATTTTAATTCATAAAGATCTGTGCCAAGCGAAAGACTGCAAAATAAGGTATAACTACATGATTTTGTAGCTTATGTGGGATTTTCGTTAATGGGATTTTAAGAATGAAGGGAAAGGAGAACATCACACGTAATACTGTCAGGTATTTGTATAATTTGCCTCGTAAGTGGGTCGCCGAGCTGTTACCGTTGGAGGCGCCTCTCTCTCTGATGGCGTCAAGCAGGAGAGAGCCTGAAATTTCAGTCTCTAGCTCTTATAGGTTCTGAGATCCTTGCGTTCATACATACGGACGGACGGACGGACAGACAGACGGACATTTTATATGTAGATGCTCCAAGTGCCTGCGCAGATCGAGTTTGTTTTCGATAATCGACAACTTACTCCGTTTCCAAGCAATCGATAAAAATCGATATCGATATCCTGTTTTTTGGGCAATTTCGGTAAATAAGAGCTAGAGTCACCAAACATGACAAATAGCTTCTAAAATATAATATATATATAAATATATGCATTTGATGTTGGAAGAAGAGGGTTCAGGGTATCCCCTAGTCGGGAGCTCCCGACTAGAATCTCTTACTTGTTTTTATTTAACTTTATAATTTGTTACACTTGCTTGTAATTGATTTGTTTCTGCAGAGCAGAAATTTTGCACAGATTGTTCTTTAGCGCTCGCATTTAAAAGGCTAACGAACAGCTTTTTAGAAAGGTCGAAACGCTGCTTTAATGGCTCAGCATCTTAACGGCCATAAATCATTTATGATGCGATGTCTGGAGTGTATCAGTGTGAATCGCATTTGATGAAATTACGTCACGCAGTGCCAAACTGGTTGCCAACAGCTCATACAAGACCCAGCTCTGTACGACTATCTTCTGCGCCAATTGAACGTGATCGGAAACATAGTCAAATGAATTGTGGGAAGTCTCTCATCTGGCCCATTAATAAGCTATTTGGCAGCACCCTTAGAGGCAGCCGAAAAACAAACAGGTTGTGCGTTTGACCCAAAAAAAATGGGGTCAATCCATAAATGGGGAAGAAGTGAGCAGCTGGAGGAGCGCCCATAAGAGTTGGCCAAAAAGCCAAATAAACATTTCCGGCATTAACATATATCCCACTGGCTGAAACGCAATGGCCATAAAAGACACCAGTGAAAGCCGATAGACAGAGAGCGAGAGGGAGAGAGAGAGAGAGAGCGGGAGAAGGAGCGGGCGGGCGACCGTGTTTGAGGAAGCTTCGAATAATCAATTTATGACAAAGTTCGTGGCCATATTCCGGCCTTTATGAAAAGCGGTCAGACCAAAGGCGCAACACAAAGAACAACAACAACAACAACGACAACAACAACAACAACAGTTGTTGATTACTCAACACTTTGCATATTGTGGTTGTCGTTGTTGCGGTTGACACACGAGAAAAAAGCCAAAGCCAACACCAACGCCTCCTGCGGCATGGGGGTGTGCAGCACACACACACACACACACACACACACACACACACACACACACACACACACACACACACACACACACACACACACACACACACACACACACACACACACACACACACACACACACACACACACACACAAACACACACACACACACACACACACACACACACACACACACACACACACACGTACACACACAGATATATATATATATATAAGCTGTTTATACATATGTGGACTGAAAACAAGAAAATGGTCAAAGCAGATGAAGTCATCGCATTTGGTTGCCTTGAAAAGCAACCAGCAATCATTTTGCGATGGCTCAGTTCCCATTTCGTGGGTTGGTTGCGTTGTTGTGTGACCACACACACACACACACACACACACACACACACACACACACACACACAACATAATTGTTCATTTGTCTTATACAAAGCAGGTTAAATGGCTGCCAACAATCAAACTTCGAACCAAGACGCGTTTCATAGTCGATATCAAAGTCCATCGCAATGCACTTCCCCATCATAGCTCTAACTCAAAAAGTAACAGACTAGGAGATACCCTGTACCCAATGCCAAGCTGTCTGTATAAGTTATACTTCCTTTCACACAAACATACACAAAAAACGTCTGGGCTTCTTCTTCCTTCTGGCCGGCGTCGTTTATAGTCGGATCCTTATATTTCAAATTCATGGTTAAGGCAAATAAAGTCGTTCAAAATTACAAATTGTAAAGTTAACAAATCAAACCAAATTAAATGGCAAACTTATCGGTCAGAAGTATCAAAGGTATTAAAAGCAACAATTAATTAATTTAATTTAGTTTGATTTAAATAAAATTCAGGGGGTGATGAAATTTGAAGTTAACCAAAACCCGATTTCGATATCAATTTGTATCGATTTTGTGGAAACAGAGCAATTTATCGATAATCGGAAATATAATCGGAATGTGCGGGCACCAGAAAAAGCTAGTCTCTCGCTCGTATAGCTTCTAAGGGCGGACAAATATACGGATTTTCAATGGGCTCAGAGCCTACAAATTTTCCGATAAACTCTGCGCGGTTTAATAAAAAACTTATCAATTAAAATTACTTAAAGACAAACGATTTTCGATTGTTTCGTGCCAAGCTGTGTATGTCAACGGTCTGATGCGGAACTAGTTCCAATTTTCAACTCTGTAAATTGTCATGATATAAGCCGATGAATAGATCTAGATTAAGTTGTAGCCTCGCACAACTGAGAGAACAGATCCGAAGAGAGACGGACGCGGCTATTTTTACTGATTAGTAATATAAGTATATATGTTTGTATATAAAAAACTGTAATTCCATCGGAAATTTCTGGTTCAAACTCATCTACAAGAATCTTAATGAGCGTGTATTTGAGTTTTGTTTTACACTGAGAAGCTACCCGTCCGGGGTGAATGTTATGTTTAATTCGAACGCACTTTTAGAAATTCCATCCGCAACTGTGGAAAATTGGCGGAAAACGGTTGCATGCAAGTTTTTTTTGCCTCATTAAAGATTAATTTTCGACTTGAAGTTTCACACTAATGAGAAGAACACGGCAATTCAAATTTTTGATACTTCATTCAATGGACACATTTTCAAATATCTAAATGCAAATTGGGACGTACAGTTCCAGATAGTACGGGCACATTAAGCAAGGAGCTCATTTATATTCCATAAACGTTTAATTATATGGACTTTTGAAAGCCGCTGGCGAAGAAGATGTGGCTAATGCCTTTGGCTCTCAGTTCCCCAGGCAGCAAACAGAAAGTGAAACGACACGACGACGGATTTCTTACAATTTCCGTTTCCCACGAGTAAACAAAAGAGACAGCACCGATACTGCTGTTGTAGTAATAATAATAATAATATTTTCAGCAGCAACTGCTACAGACGAACACAATGTTTTACAGCTGCGAAATGCAAGTTTTTTTTTTTTTTCGTTTTTTTTTTGTTATTGGAGCGAAAGCAAAATGCAGCAGACCAATAAAATTGCTCTTAGCGTACCCAAAGGCCCCGCAGAGCAAACCAACTTCCATATGTCTGTTTATTTTTATGGAAGCAAGGTGCAGAATATACTCAGTATACAAACAGAATTCTTCGCACTCAAAGTCGGATCAAAGTAATTTGCGGCTATCAAGAGCTTTAGCTGGAATTGAGCAAAAACTAATAAACTAACACTTCGTTAACAGTTCCAAGACATACAGGTGTATGCAGCTTTAACATTTGTTTGCATAACAGAACTGTTAAATGTTAATTACATAGAAATGTTAACATGAAATATTGTATTGCTGGTACTTTACTGAGCAATGGCTATTCTGCGAATACTGTTAGGTTCCAAAACATGCAGATGTATACAATTTTAACATTCGAATGCATAACATAAACGTTAAATATTAACTACACAGAAATGTTGACTTGAAATATTGTATTGCTCAGTAAAGTAGAAAAAAAACTAATAAGCTAATACTGTTAAGTTCCAAAGCATATATGTAGATGCATACAGCCTTAACATTTGTTTGCATAACAGAACTGTTAAATGTTAATTACATAGAAACTTGAAATATTGTATTGCTTAGCAAAGTAGCAAAAACAAAAAACGTTAAAAAATCTGCGAAAGGTGACGCTGCCAATAAGCAAAAACTACACTTAAAATAAAAATTTTTAACTAGAAATTTATGACAGCGTTTGCTATCTCATTTTCGGGCTAAGATCAGTCAGCGCTGGAAATATCATTAACAAACAGTGAGAGGCAAATATTTCCCATCATTATAAGTAATTAGATGTAAACGTTATCTAATCGGAAGTGGCCGACTAGAAGATCCACAAGCATTCTAGTTTTCTGCCTTACGCAAATATACGATCTATGGAAATGGCGTATGTTATTGATGAGGAGGAACTACGATTGAAAAATCAAGTCTCTAGCTCTGATGGGTTCTGAGATCGATCGACTCGGCTATTGCTGCTAGCCAAGAATATTTGTACTTAATGGGATCAGAGAATCCATGTTTCTGCCTGTTACATACATGTGCCAGTATACCCTTTCTATACATTTTCAATAGGTACAACAACTATAGAGGCCGCGTATATGTAAAAACCCATCACACGTTCATTTCAGTTGTCAGCTGTGTTAGTGATAACGAACTAGACAAAAACAACATGCAACACTTATAAGTAGAGTAAAAGAGTGCTGAAAATTGAATACGATTCCAGACATTTGAAGAACTTACATAATATTCTAATCCTATGCACTCACTTTCGATCGAGTGCTCCAACTGGAGCAATTGGGTAATCCGAAAATTCATAGCTTGTAAGTAAGTTCAAGACATCCGTAAATAAGTCAATTTTCTATCGGTGTATCAGACACTGACTCCAATATAAATATGGGAATTTGTCTGGATTCACGCTATATTCTGTTAACTTAATATCTTAATATCATTCGTTTTTGCACTCTTGATAAGCTTGGTTAATTATTGGTACAATCAAACATTTGCGTTCTTATAGTCAACGCACGTTTGTCCTCCTCGGGAGTTCGAATCCACCCTGCTGCCTATTTTAATATGCTCATGTTACCATCCCTTCTGTTACACAACAGACGTTTAACATTTTATCGGCCGCTACAGGCCCTCATCGACATCCCTATCTGGCAGAGTTGCCAGCCCTACGCGTCTTTGAGATTAACCAGATGATCAGTTTCTTGTTTTAATGGGTAAAGAAAAAAAATAGAAAGTAATGAATCTAACGAAAAGATTGTCAAGTTGTTTGTGGCGCTGAAGATGCTGAACCAGAATTTCTAGGATTTTCCAACGTGATTAAAATAGGAAGGATGTAAGAATCATGTGTATGCAGCACATGAGTATCTGCTATCAGTACAAATTATATATTTGAAACAATTAAAGATAATAATTGAGTTTTTATCAAAATTACGTTCGCATTTCATTATGCTAATCAACAAAAAGTCCACAAAAGTTGGACTGAAAACTAATTATTTGTTATATATTTAAAGAAAAGAAACACAGAGTAGGTCAGTAAATGATTTTTTTTTTTTCAAAAATTGTTTAGATATCGTTATACCCTAAGTTCCTTGAAAATGCGCAGAAAGAGTTGAATGGTTTTGTGCAAGTGTATGTAACAGGAAAATGGAAGCATCTTCGACACTATGAAATATACACATATATATTTTTGATCAGGAAGACGAGCTGAGTCAATTTACCCATAAATCGTCGTCAATCTCGAAATCTACAAAAATAAACCCAAATTTGAGATATATATATTTTTGTATAATATAACGAACACGTATTAAGAATGTCTCACAATCAGAAAAAATCGTTTTCAAAAGTAGAGCCTTGCACCTCGGCATATGCACACTTTCTGCTTTTGCCCTAGTAGAAGATCATAAAAATCGGACAATAAGCACCGAAGCTAATCTGGAATGCATGTGCCACAGTGTGGGGTATCTTCGAGTCGGGCACACCCGACTATAGTACACTTGTTAAACCTGTTTACGTAAACATAATTAGCGATTTTGTACATTTTACATATTACAATTATAGCGAAAAATATGAGGCCAGAAGAGATCTTGCAATTGTTGCAAGTGCCGCAGGTCCATTAATTAGTCGGTTAACCGATTCAGAAGTTAAACATATCTGATGAAACATGCTTTATACATATGCATATTCGAAACTACGCCTTAAGGCGTTTACACAATGAAACTTGTTGTAGCTGTTGCCTTGCAACGAGCTCAGTTCAGATTAAAAATCTCGCTTAATATTCCATGCAAATTTTCCAATCAGCAAGCTGCACACATGGCACCAACAAAGCCGGTCTTTGCTTTAGTAAACACACACACATACTACGCATACAGATACATGCATATATATATATATGCATACTCTTGCAGTTACAAGCCAGCAATGGGAACACCCACCCACACAGTAGCTCAGCTTATGCTCGAGGGCCTCATGATATACATATATACGTATATGTGTGTATTCACAAATGCTGATAATAGAAAAACACATTTTATGGATCATTGTACGAGAATTTAATATGTACTTTCAAATGTAACTCTATTCATTAATTGAATATGTACGTAAAGCGAGAGAGAGCGAGAGAGAGAGAGAGAGAGAGAGAGGGGGGGTAATAGGAATTACGAATTCCATTTGAAAATGTTCTCACTTGACGGAAACCAGAAATGCGTTCAATCAGAGTACTCAAAGTTTGAATGAAACCTTTCTATATTTTACGTTTTTAATACCTCGATCTTTGTAACACTCTATCTGATATACTTTTAGAAAGAGATCTTGAGGATCTTATGAGTGGCGAGTGTCAGGAGGAAATCAATTGTTTGTATCCTTGTATGTCCATAAGCATATATAGTAGCTTTATCCAAGGGAAAAGTAAGCAAAAAGAGCATACTTTTTGCGATTATATTTACCAAGTGGTAGGAATTTTTGACAAGTAAGCTCCTAATCCTTTTGAATCCTTGTGACTTATGGCCATTGCGATAACAAACCGCTAGGGATGGCTAACAGTATGCAGCTGCTGCATTCACACAACAGTCGCGTCTATGTGTGCTTCTTGCAGCCCTGGTGTGTTACTATGCACACATACGCACACAAGCGCACACACGCGTACCGAAAAGAAGAAGAAGTAGAAGTAGAAGAAGAACAACAACAACGTCACATCAATTGGCTGCACAACAAATGCAATTGGCTCGCGTGGGGCACATGCGAGGCATGGTGCAGTGTGGCATGAAGTGCAAGTGACGGCAAGCGGGGAGTGCGTTGAGCGTTGAAGTTGCTGCTGCTTCTTCTATGGCACATATTATAGCACTCTGTGTGCTTTTTCTTTATTTTTGTTTTCTATTCGCGTGTGCGTGTGCATGCAACTGCCACCACAGCCGCCGCACGCCGCCCGCCGTTGCCACCACCCGCTTGGCCACGCGTTGATGTTCGATTTTTCACCATTCTTGAAAATTGTATGAGCTGCATGTGCATGCCTCCGCCTGTCTGCATGTGTGTGTGTGTGTTTTTGTGTATATCGCAATCAATTTGATTTTGGCCATGCACTGCTGAGGGGACTACCCCCGTTCCCACAACCATCTCATATTTAAACATATATATATATATATATATATACTTACCACATTGAGTCGTTGTTGCACTTCGTGTTGCTGCTGCTGCTGCTTCAATTGTAGGCGGTGTCCCTGCGCTGCATAACAGTTGACATATTTGAGCGATATTTATTAATTTATAATTTACTTTTAGCACGACCAAGTTTCAATTGGCCACACACACACCCATACACTGACTCACACGCATATGCGTTAATCAAAAACCAACAACAACAAAAACATTTAAAAAAATAACAACAAAAGATTATACATATCAGAAGCACAGCATTGCTGTTAACTGCTGATGATGCTGCTGCTTCGGCGGCGGCTGCCCTTCGCTTAGGTTATGTACACACACAGTTTGACATTTTAACTAGTTTGTGCATATGTATGTGTGTGCTGTGTGAATTTTCTAGTTAGTGTGTGGCTGGGCAATAGCCAAAAGCAATTAATGCTGTTTATCACATAAACGCGCGCTTTGCTGCCAATTGCAATTATTATTATTTAATTTACCAGTTGGAGCGAATGCGTGTCTTCAGCTGCCAAATAAAAAAAAAACACTAGCACTTTAAAGTAAAAACAATAACAATAAGTCGGCAGAGCAGCGACGACGTCCGCGCGAGAGCAACGACAGCGACGACCAGACGACCGCGGTTTAATGAATAGTAGGTATGCATTGCGCAGGCCCCTTGTCGGCGTTGAAGCGAGAGAGTAAAATTGAGACTCTGTGACGTCACAGCTTTATAGTTTTGAGTGGAAGCGACTAGGTGCTTATATTTGGAAAGAAAGAATACAACATTGTAAGAATTAATTGCCAGCAGCATTGCTTAAATATAAATCACAAACTACTAAAATCGTGTACAACTTAGCACACATAGAGTTCGTTTTGAACTCAATTAAAGCCAAACATAATGATCGATTTTACCAAACAAAATCTTAAATTAAATGATTGAAAATTGAATTGGATTTCAGCTGTTAATATGAATTGCAATCAAAATTGTGACGACATTTGCAGGCAGAAATTAAAGCGACCGTACATCTTTACTTAATCGCAAGCGACGACTTTGTTATCGCAGCAACAAAATGCTATCGAAACTGAACTGCGCACATCACAAACAGCTGATCGTTTTCAATGCAGCCAAAACTGTATGATAGCACAATGGAGCCGCGAACTTTTTAAATTGTTAATATGTATGCACTTATGTTAAATGTAAACAAACAGCCTATAACGAAAAATTGGAGAAATATAAATAAGCAGAATGTTATATATGTATTTATATTGTTATTTTTAAAGTAAAATCAGGAATTAAAAGCTGATTTGCGCTTGATGGGCGAATTCAAATTTCGAGTCAGTCGTGTCGCTTCGAGCAACAATGTACTTATCGATAACACCGCACATACGCTCATCGACTCATCGATAACATTGCGCAAATCTCGGGCGTCTAGCGAATTTTCATTAGGCTGCCACGAAGCTTCGCCGCATTTAGTTTAATACATTTTGTTTGTTTTTAAACTCGTTCTGCGCAGCAAAAATAGCGCAGGTAATGTGCAGAATTGTTGTGTGGTTAATGTGCAAACCCGTGTGTGGAATTGCATGTAGTTTTACCCAGACAACCCAGTAATCAGCATCGAGCAATAGCCGCACCGGCATTTCTTGGTAGCATCAGAAAGCCGTGACAGAAACCAATACACCGGCCATGACCGTGGATACTAGCAATGGAAGCAGCGGAGGAGCGACGAAAGCACGGGGTCTCCTAACCTGGGAAAAACAAGAGCATCTTGTTAAGCTAGCGATACTTATTTTAGCCGCCGTTTTATGTGAGTATTTTGCGTGGGTTGCACGCCAATATGTATAAATTCAATTTGCGGGGGTGGAGACATCAGTAAATATATTAGTAGATGTACATGTATGTGTGTGTGGGCGTGAATTCACAAATATCGATAAAAACTCAGTTCGAGCTGGTGAACACGGCCTAGAAGAAGAAATTTGTAATCGAAATATCGGAGCGAAGTTTTGTACGTACGATAACAATTGTGTGCAACCAACTTAATGTCTTTACTTTTCTGCGTCTTGCAGCGTTCGCTACACGTTTGTTTTCTGTGCTGCGTTTTGAAAGTGTGATCCATGAGTTCGATCCCTATTTTAACTACCGCACCACGCGGTTCTTGGCCGAGCAGGGCTTTTACAAATTCCACAATTGGTTTGATGATCGCGCCTGGTATCCACTTGGCCGCATCATCGGCGGCACCATCTACCCAGGATTGATGGTTACATCGGCGGCCCTGTACAGGCTAATGTGGATGCTGAACATAACCATCGATATACGTAATGTGTGCGTGTTTCTAGCACCATTCTTCTCCTCGCTGACCACGCTCGTCACATATGCGTTGACCAAGGAAATACACGTGAGTGACATTTAGGTTAAATACGAACACGTGCACGTGAGTCTGACATAAAATATTGATGTCATTTGCAGAGCACTGGCGCCGGCTTGGTAGCTGCAGCGCTGATATCAATAGTGCCGGGATATATATCACGCTCGGTGGCTGGTTCCTATGACAATGAAGGCATCGCCATATTTTGCATGCTCTTTACCTACTATCTATGGATCAAGGCTGTCAAAACGGGCACCATATTCTGGTCGGCAATGTCGGCGCTTGCCTATTTCTACATGGTGTCCTCGTGGGGAGGTTATGTGTTTCTCATCAATCTGATACCGCTGCACGTGCTGGCGCTGATGTTTACTGGTCGCTTTTCGCACCGTATTTATATAGCATATAGCACTCTATATTGCGTTGGCACCATTCTCTCCATGCAGATATCGTTTGTGGGCTTCCAGCCCATCCAGAGCTCCGAGCACATGCTGGTATGTCACAAACATTTGTTGTTTATTATAATTTGTGTTGCCAAATGATGATTACTTTTGTAATTCTTGATAGGAAGAGTATGAAACATAATGAGTACTATAAAAAAATACTGATGCGCCATATTTTGTGAATTATTTATTAATTATTTAAAATGTCTATATTAATGGCTCATCTCTCCTTTTTGTTTTACAGGCACTGGGAGTTTTTGGTCTCTGCCAGATACACGCCTTTGTAGATTATCTGCGCTCGCGTATGCCAAAGGACCACTTCGACCTGCTCTTCAAGACGCTGGTGTCGAGTGTAATTAGCCTGGTGTTGATTGTGGGAACGCTGCTAACACTAACTGGCAAGGTATCCCCTTGGACGGGTCGCTTCTACTCGCTGCTGGATCCATCTTATGCCAAGAATCACATTCCAATCATTGCCTCTGTGTCGGAGCATCAGCCCACATCTTGGTCATCATTCTACTTTGATCTACAGGTAAGCAGTTTTATCAAAAATGTACAGGCATCTGATTTGATGATGACGCCAAATACGATGTGAATGACTTGCGACTTAAAGCAAGCATTGATTACAAGCACTTTGATCGCTGAACCAAGTCGATTTAAAATGTTTTGAATTTTAAAGCATTCCCTAATTTTTGTATGCTTGCCATTTCAGATTCTCGTTTTTCTGTTTCCCGCCGGCCTCTACTTCTGTTTCTCGCGCCTGACAGATGCCAACATATTCATCATATTGTATGGCGTGACAAGCATTTACTTTGCTGGCGTCATGGTGCGTCTAATGCTTGTCCTGGCGCCAGTGATGTGTGTTCTTTCTGGCATTGCCATTTCGCATCTGTTGGCCAAGTATATCAAGTGTGTAGACACGGGCACCTCCAAGCCCGCAACGGAGAGCAAACGGCAGCACAAGAAACTGGAACAGCAAAGTGGTGGGGTCAAAAGTGAGGTGGCCATTGGCTTTGTAGCCATCATAACACTGATGCTTATCGTTTATACGCTTCACTGTACCTGGGTCACTTCTGAGGCCTACTCCTCGCCGAGCATTGTGCTCAGCGCCCGCTCCCACGATGGTGGCCGCATCATCTTCGATGACTTTCGCGAGGCCTATTACTGGCTGCAAATGAATACGCCTGAGGTGAGTGGACAAAAGAGAAAGAGAGAGGGGTATATCGCTGTGTCTCTATTTCGCACTGGTGATGAATACAATTTGTATATTCTTGATAGGAAGAGTATGAAACATAATGAGTACTAACAAAATGTTGCTGAAAATGTGCATCTGCATATCAATTACTGGATATTCAAAGAATGTTCAAATGAATTCAAATTGCTTTCTGTTTTCAGAACGCGCGCATTATGTCCTGGTGGGATTACGGCTATCAAATAACAGCCATGGCCAATCGCACGATACTTGTCGACAACAATACCTGGAACAATACGCATATTTCACGTGTGGGCCAGGCAATGGCCTCGTCTGAGGAGAAGGCATATGAAATAATGCGTGAACTGGACGTTGACTATGTACTAGTCATTTTTGGTGGTTTGACGGGTTACTCGTCAGACGATATTAACAAGTTCCTGTGGATGGTGCGCATCGGCGGCAGCACCGATCGCGGTGCGCACATCAAAGAGAAGGACTACTATGCGGCAAATGGAGAGTTTCGTGTAGACAAAGAGGGTTCCCCCACACTGCTCAATTGCCTCATGTACAAGATGTGCTATTATCGATTTGGGCAAATGTATACGGAGGGCGGCAAAGCGCAGGGCTATGATCGCGTGCGTGCCGCCGAAATTGGCAACAAGGACTTTGAGCTCGATGTGCTTGAGGAGGCATATACAACCGAGCACTGGCTGGTGCGCATCTACAAAGTGAAGGACTTGCCAAATAGAGGCGTCTAAATGTGCCGTGGGCCCACTCTCTCTCTCTCTCTCTCTCTCTCTCTCTCTCTCTCTCTCTCACTCTATCTCTATTTCTGTTTCTATGTCTCTAACACATTCGCATGCATGCATTCTTTGATAGAGCTCTATTAAAAAACATTCTGTAATTTGTACATTCATTAAGCTTAGCTTTAATTTTAAGCTCACTGCTCTTTTTTTTTTTTTAATATAAAGTCTTACTTGAGTATTATTGTTATTCCCTGTGTCTGTCTCTCTCGCGCTCTCTCCCTGTCATAGTTGAGAGAGATTGTAATTTATAAAGTTTCGTTTGATGAATCAAATACGAAGCAAGAGCATATTCTTAGGGTGTAAGCCAGCAAACTGATCGAAAATAAACATATGTGAAAACAAATCTCATTCAAATTATAAAACGTGCCTTTTTATTTGTTGTTATTGAAATATATAAATCGAGAATAGTATTTATGGGAACTACAGAAGTACGATAGAAGTTATACAAAAGTAATTAAAAACGATTAAAACAAAAGATTGCAGCAATTTTTTTATTATTGACAGCTGAGATTATTTATTTATTTTGTTGTGGATCATAATTCAAATTATCCTGGACATGCTACAAATGCTGAGAATATGTGAGTTGATAATTTAGAGAACTTGCTTAATTGATGTGATTATCATCTTGCTGTGCATCGATTTCGCTGCCAAAGACAACATCGGCCACGTCATCCTCGTTAGACTCGTTGCTGTGCTCATCGGCCAACTCTAGCCGGGCTATAAACTCATCCAGGCCGTCCAAAGATTCATAGACTTCTTTGGGCACTTCATCCAATGTATTCCAAACAACAGGCTGCAATTCTGCTGGACGCGAGTGGGACTCCAGTTGCGTCTGGGCCTCCGGCCGATTCGAGCTGTACAGCTCGCGCAGCGTGGTACGTGTCAGATTTAGCTCCCGCACGCCGAATCCCATGCGCTGATTCGCATCCTCAGCAGCATGACGACGCGCCGCCTTGCGTGCATCGTGCACCTGCTGTTCGGCTGAGGTGCGCAGCACGGCCGAATTGTGCCTGGATGACCAGGTGCTGGATGCGGACTTGCGCGTACGATTTATAATTTGACGGCACTTGTTTGTGATGCCGCCAACAATCTCAGAGACAAGCGCAACGGCGCCCATAAAATAGCCAATGCCCATGAGCAGAAACATGCCCTCCGTGTCGGCGGTGGTCAACTGGCGCTCCTCCTGTATGATTTCACGCAGCGCTGAGCTGGCGCTGGCCTGCAGCAGGCGGCCCGTCGACGAACGCTGCATGTCCCAGCTGACCTCGTGGCCCAGCTTGATCATCAGTCCGCTCTCCTGTGCAGTCATAATCATCGAGTCAATCTTGCGTTTATACACAGAATTGAGCGGAAAGAGGAAGCCAATTTGAAAGAGTGCAAAGCACTCCTCGCTCAGATGCAATGCCGAACGCCGGGATAGATTCCTGGTTGGCCGCGAAAAGTGGAGAAATTATAATTCATGCATAGTTTATGTTCCTCCTCAGTCAGTCCAGGCTAAGCAATGTGATTTACATTTGATTGGCATTTTTGTTTCTATTTGCCACGAAGTGTTACTCATTGAAATCGGACTGAAATCGGACTCAACTTCGGCTCTGTCTTAAAGAAAACTATAAAAATTAAGATAGCTATAGACTGTCACTTGGTTCTTCTCGGAGCCTCATACTATGGGAAATACGTGCGTAAGTTCGGTGTGTATAGCCCGATCTTTATGATATGTTCTGGTCATAAATATGGCATAAATACCAAAGTCCAAGACTCGATCGCCAAAAAAGCAAATAGATGTCCTACACCCCAAGTTTTTCAACTCTACCTCTTATTGCCTTGGAGATCGATTGGCAGGCATGGCTAGATCAGCTAGATTAGCCTGATGCTGATTAAGTATATATATGGGACCGAAAAAGACTCCTGCATTAAAATACATTTTAACGAATTCCATCCATCTATCCTACGCAATCTCCACGGGTTTAGTGTATGCAAAGAGTATGTGGAGTCCGCTTACTCATTCGAATAGTTGGATTGGACGAGGTATTCCAGACGCGACCTTGAACCGAGAAAAGCATAATTCCAGAAAAAACTCTGCGTGACATTGCCAATGCCTTCCTCCAGGGAGCCAACAAACTCCATTTTCTTGTACAGCTTCGACGTGGGCTCGTGTGTGGAGTTCTGAAACCAATTCTCCCAGCCGCCATTATCTAAGATTTGGTTAGACGACATTACAGTTGCGAAAGGACCAAAGGAACGCCAGCCAGATGGATACGTACCCAGCGTGCATACACGAAAGAAGAGGCCAAGCAAGTCCAATACGGAGTCAACGGTGTCCGGAAAGGCTGGCAATGTGACAAATGCTATAATGGATCCAGTGTAACAGGATGTTATAATGATGGTGAAGAGCCAATAGGAGCCGATCAGCAGACGCGTTGAGGTCTTCTCCGTATTGCCCCATGAATATTTGCCGGTAAATGTGAAGGCATTCGTGAACATGCCAAAAACGTACCAGAACATATTCTCAATTTCGCCCCAGTTACCCATCAGGTGCCTCAGTGTCAGGCGATCTGTAAATACAATCGGAAATATGCCACCGAGATAAACGCAGATCAGTGCCACCCACACGGGCCACTGAAAGGGGCCCATTATGGCACGATACTTGGGCAAGGCCTTGGATGCCAGAGTTATGAATGCCGCACAGTCCCGCGAATGCCCCACCGACATGTCCGTGGCACGCATTCGATCCTCGGTTATGTAAATGCCCGACATGCCAATATCAACACTGCCCTCTGCGATCTGAAATTGTATGTTCTCCACGATGCTGCGCGAATTCACTAGATTGGGCGTCTCTGTAATCTCCACGGTGAAATTCAAACGCTTGGCTATTATATTCAACAGACGCATCTCAATGCCATCCCAACGCAATGTGCCCATGCCCGAGGAGTCCAGCGACTTGATGCGAAAGATGTACGGCGGCTGATTGGCGGCCGATACCTGAAAACGGTGTCCGGCAAAACCATTCTGAAATTTTGCCGGAAACAGATCGATGTGCGGTCGCGACAGAGCGCCTCGGATCCAGCTGGTCAATACTATTCCAGTATTCGAGCCCAGGCCATCCGCATACAGTTTATGCGTGTATAGCACAAAGGGCCGCTCCTGTAAAAGCATTTCTTCGATTTATATATTCGCATATTTATGATTTATGAATCACATTTTTTATATAAAATAATTATATGTCTAAAGTAACAATTAATTGAAAGCCTATCGTTTATCTTTAACCAAGTCACATTCTACTCAGACGGGGCGGATTTTACGAAAAGTGTGGAAGTGAAGCCAGTTGAGAAACTCGATTCACCCAATCGTCGCTTTTCACCAAGAAAGGGTGAATTTTGCGAATTGTGTGAAAGTGAGTTTGAGTTTGAGTTTTTAAAAAGGTTGGAGTGGAATATCCCAAAACCCTGCCTTGTCGATTCAAATGGATTTAGAAGAAAAAGAAAAAAATAATCATATTAAACTAACTTTTGATTTTCTGAGAATTCCCTTTTATAGTATTTAAGTAAATACTTATAGAAACTTAAATGTAATCTTTAGAAATCAAATCCAAACTATAAAAGGATTGTCTCTTAATTCATTAGCCAGCTTTTGCTCGGTTAGTTTCATAGTTTAAGCTACTGAATAATTTCTGTTATTTCCGTGAACAACGAAAGAACACCCTGTATTTAAGCCTAGTCGTACTCACGCGCTCTGAAATTTCCATTAAAGATTCACCAATGACCAACAGATTGACAATATTCGACGACAGGTCGGAGCTCAGGAAATCGCGCAGCTTCCACTGTGATGAGCTGGAGACCAAGACGACGCGACTCTCCGTTTGGGGACCCAAAATCTTGCGTGCCATTAATGGTTCGGACAGGAATAGTATATAGCTCTTGCAGTTGTTATCAATATGCCTGGTGAAGTTGGGATTCTGTGGTTCGTAGCGTTCATTGATCTCGCCATGATAAAATGTAACCGGCATGGTCTGGTATGGTATGAAACAAAAATAAAAATATAAGACTCTAGAGCTTCCACTTGCCAGCTCAGTACTCGCCTTAAGGAGTGTCTCCAACAGTTGGCCCTTTGATTTGGCCACCAGGCTGTCGTAGTAGATGACCGGCGGGCATTTGGCCAAATACTCCTTGGCTATTTTGTTGACCAGCGTTACCAGTGAGTTAGTCTGATCGAAATTGTGCGACGTTAGAAATTTGCTGGCCAAAAGTTCGGCGCGTGGCTTCGGATTGCCACGGAACGTGGCATCCACACGGCGCTTGAAGCGTCTCTCATGGCAGTTGCCATAAAGCTGTTCGTTCAGGCGATGTCGCTCAATCAAACGAGAACTCACACAGTTCCCAGGCCAAGCCCCAGCGTTGTTCACTGCCAAAGCAAACCCTTGGCTGGCAACTAGTGCCAGACACGTCCACCACGGCAACATGCTGCAAATGCTCGACCTGCCCCATGTGGCGCCGCATTTATATATACGGTAACCCGTGCATGTGCTGACCCGCACGCGAGAGGTTGCCGCCTAATCGAATTATATGCATTTGTGATTTGATTATTGTTTCCAAAGTTGTTGGGAAACCGTTGTAACACCTGGCTGCAGGAGCGTCGATAACAGGCAGGTGGGTGGGCTCTAGTGGGCTGTGACCGGCTAGAACATACCCTCCATCCAGCGTTAAGCTCAAGAACAAGAACGAATAAACACAAGCTGCGCACTTTATATGCATGCTATGCTTACTCTTCTTCTTCTTCTTCCCTTTGCCCCACACCCTGCATGGGAAATGCAACCTTGATTAACTTCGGTGTTTATGGTCCGATCTTCATGAAGTTTTCAAAGCTTAAATATGGCGTACAAAAGTATGTATACATCGAGAGCTTATCTTCAAAAACCATATTTTTACAATATCTATTTTTACAACATCTATAATATCTATAAGTGAAATAGGCTATATCTATATATCTAGCTCTTATCGTTCCATATATGATAAGCTGCATATACCTCTATCTCTGGGCTACATCGAATCGTCAGTTCGTCGTGATCCAGAACATATATACTTTCTGGGATCGAAGATGCTTCCATCTGTCGGTAACATTGATTTGCACAAAAACATAATACCCTTTCTACCCATTTTCAGCGGTTACAGGGTATAAGAATTAGATATGTTATCCCCGTAAACAAGGTAGTTATTATTAATATAAAATATGATTGCCTGCTCCGTTTGTTGTTTTCACTTTCAACGTTTTATTATTCAAGCACTTGCCACATTTTGTTTTGTATATGCCCGAACTATTTGCAGATAGCCAAGGACTGATTAATGTTATTTGCCAGATTGTGTTTTTATCAGCAATTTCTATATTATTTGAGAATGTCGAAAAGAGCGCACTTCAACTAGAAATGCCTTTAATTCGAACAATTAGTAGAATCTTTGAGGTTTTCCAAAGTAAACGATGTCGGACTTGGCCCAAGAAAAACCTTATCTATCTATCTACATATATATACTCATCTTACTCATACTGTATATCTCATACTCCATATACCCATATCTCTCCATTGCAGGGTATAATATGACGAGCCAAGGACGGTTTGGCTTATTGCCGAGGCTTAAGCCGTGAACTATTTTAATCGCCGATTGGCACAATTACTATCTACAATTTCCACGTCTAGATATTTGTAAAAGGAGTCAAGTCCATCGAATTGAGAAACAGAACTTGCAATCCGCACATTTAAGTCTCGTTAGTCTCTTTTGCTCATACAACCTTTGACCTTTGCATGCTCCATTCAAGAGTATTGGATTTTGCGAAGAATGTGAAACACTTATCAACTTCTCACAAAAGCCTTTGGAAATCAGTTTGAAGCCGATAGGAAGGTAAATAAAAAAGTTTCTGGAAACTGTTTTCCGCCATTTTTTCACACTTGCGAGTGGAATTTCTCTCAAATAGTTGTCCATAAATAAACATTAAGTTTTACCTGCGATTAATAGCGTTTGGAATAACTTTCGTCTCTCCGCCTTCTCTATTGGTGAATCTTATTTTAAATAACATTGAAATTGAAGTCGATAGAAAAAAAAAAAAAACAAAAAGCTGCAACCAACCGATTTCTGTCAAGTTTTGTTACGACCCCGAAAGTGGCCCAACCCATCAACTGATCACTCCTGAAAAAAACCGATTAAGATAGCAGCACATACACACAGCATTAAAAACAATACAATCGAAATTGCAATGCTGTTGATAGCATTTATGTATACAGAAATTATTGCAATTTGCGCTAGCTGCCGCGGACACGTGGACTGCCACACATTTTCTCTAATAACTTCTGTGTTTCTCAACCAACCTTGATGAAAATTTCAACAGTAGATTTTATTGTGCTAAAGAATATTTGTATACTCTCAAAAAGTCCATTGCATTAAATTGTGGCTTAAGCTGCTGGACAATTCAAATGGGTTTACTTATAGATATAAAATTAAAGATGCTTGAAATATATATATATACTAAGTATTCTAGGATATACATGCGAAGTTTGGTGACTCTAGCTCTAAAAACCTGAGGGATTTGCTCTAAAACAGGATTTCAATATCGATTTTTATCGATTGCTTGGAAACGGATTAAGTAATCGATTATCAGAAACAAACTCGATCTGCGCAGGCACTGGGAGCACGTACATCTAAAATTTCAAGTCTCTAGCTATTATAGGTTCTGAGATCCTTGCGTTCATACATACGGACAGACCGACGGACAGACAGACGGACATGGCTCGATCGACTGGGCTGTGGGTGCTGATCAAGAATATATATACTTTATGGGGTCGGAGATGCTTCCTTCTTCCTGTTACATACATTTGGATTTTGCACAAATACAATATACCCTTATACCCATTTTTAATGGGTTCAGGGTATAAAAAAGACTTGATCAGTGTTTACTATACGAGAAGCGAGCACTAAAACTTGTTCTGTTTTCGGGGAATCGATAAAAATCGACATCGAGATAGGTTTTAAGAGCGTGTGGTCCCAACATTGGCATATAGACTCTCGTAAACTATACACAATTCCAAAATTTTGTGAATACCTCCATCCATTCCCTCCAAGGGAAATAAAACAGTTTTGAAGGTAGACTTTCGTATTCACACACACATTTATGCCCAGAAAATGACGAGAGCATCGCTACGTTCAGGGTATCTCCTAGTCGGGCACTCTCAACTGTAGAACTCTTACTAGTTAAATATAATTATATGCATTCGAATAAATGTTGAAATACCCGAATGCTGGCTTTGACATAAAACTCATGGAAAAAACCAGCGAAAGCCACAGCTGGGCAAATAGATAATCTATTACTAATTGTGTTACTGGGCAATATATGTATAATTGTGTATTCATATATAGACATATTTGAGCTGCATGCAGACATATACAATACAAATAATATAGCTGCATACAATTGTGTAGATAGCTTAGAGGATTGTTTGAGGATACGAGGCTTGTTGTTCCTTCAACAGATCTGATGGCAGCTGCGGCGGAGGCATTTGCATATACTTAGCCAGATACGGGGTCAGGAGCTCCATGGGCAAGGGGAACACAATCGTTGAGTTCTTCTCCGCCGAAATGCTGCTCAGCGTTTGCAGATAGCGAAGCTGTGGGTAATATACACAAGCAAATGGTATGGCAATCGCATTCGAATCAATGAAGGTGCGACTCACCTGTAAAGCGGATGGACTGGAGGATATCACATCGGAGGCCTCCTTGAGGGCAGTTGCTGACTTCTTTTCACCCTCGGCCGCAATCACCTTGGCGCGGGCATCGCGTGAGGCTTCCGCTTCGGCAGCCATTGCACGCTGCATGGACGTGGGCAGCGAGACATCCTTGCTGCAAGGGATCAGAAGGATTGATCAGCTGTATGCCTTGTGCATTAATCCATATCTTACATTTCGACGCGCTCAACCATCACGCCCCAGGGTTCGGTGGCATCGTCCAGGGTCAACTGCATGTTGTGGGCAAGAGTCTCGCGCTCGGTGAGCAGCTCGGTGAGATTACGTGTGCCCACAATGTTGCGCAACGTGGTGGCAGCCAGGAGCCGCGTCGATGTGCTGTAGTCCTCCACGCGCACGATCGCATACAATGGATCACAAATGCGATAGTAGACAACCGCGTCCACGGTCACCGTCACCGAGTCCTTCGTTAGCATCTCCTGCTGCGGCACATTGAATGTCACCGTGCGCAGATCCACCTTCCGATACTGATCGATGCAGGGCAATATGAAGAACATGCCCGGACCACGAGGACCGCCGCTCAAGCGTCCCAACCGAAAGATAATGGCACGCTCGTACTCGGCCACGACCTTAATGCATATAAATATCGAAATGGGGCACGTGATAATAAAGACCAGCAACGAGAGCAGAGTGACAATCCATTCCATGCAGCCCAGCGGCTCGTTTTCCGCTGCAATCACAAATCAAAGGCATCCGCCATGCAAACTCCTTCATGACTAAGTTCCTGATAAGCGAATTTCAGTTGCTTTTTTTTTGTACATTTTTTTTCTTGCTTTTTATGATGCTGGTACACGCAATTAATCCGTTAAGAAGCTGACTCACAATGACTAGATGATACTCTGCCAATCAGGCCTGAACTTTTCTAGGTACCCTAAACGCGATTTTGTGTATTAGTAGCGGGAAATTTCAATTTAATTTTTACTATAGGTCAAAACCTAAACCAAGCCAATTTCTTAAACAAAAAAAAAAAAAAATGATTAATTCAACAAGAGTTTGGTTAAAAATAAATAAAGCAATTCTTTGAGCAAAGCCCGGCCCCAAGCAATGCATTTATCCATACATATTTGCTAGATGTAGTAGAAAATGTAATTAATTAATTAAAATTAATTACACCAATTACACTCAGAAAACATATGAGAAAGCAAGGCTTGAAAGAAAATTGTGTGACTCCAGCTTCAGGAACCTAGCCCAAAGGCAATAAACAATTTCTGTTGGGGCTGTTGAATATAATAAATAGCATTGTTCTTTTGAAAATTGAATGAAATGTGAAGAAACGAGCTTTATAGCCGTGCCCCGAAGCGTACCGCAAGTTCGAAAGGCTTTCCTGGGAACCGCACACACAGGCAATAAAAATGATAATTCTGTTTGTTTCTTACAATTCTTCAAATTGAAGCCAAGCCCATAGGGTATTCGTATAGGCTTAACTGGTCGCAAGAATGCAATTACGTAGTTAAGTGTTTGATTGTTAGCTAAAAGTAGCTCTGGGAATATGAAAAGAAAAAATTGATAGCTTCCAGTGTTATCTTGATCCTTATCAACACAGCGAATCTTATAGCTATATTATCTTAGCATATCGAAGAATTTACAACATCAAATATAATGTGAATTGCACCAAAATCAGTTCGCTTATCTAATCTTGTTTACTTTTGACAAATAATTTGCCAATTGCCAAAACTACTTGGCGCTTACATGTCTTAAATCCGCGATACTCCGGCACGGGATTACGCTTTGTGTGCACAACTTCTGGCTCCGGTGGCTGTTGACCCGGCGCTATGTTGACCATATGGGCGCTGGAGCCAGTGGGTAGCTCCGAAGCGCGCAAATCCTCGTAATTAGAATACAGGGGTGAATTGCGCTGCTGTTCCATGACGTTGCTGTTCGCTCCACAATGCACCCAATCCGTCGGCCAACCGCTCGTTACTGACGGCTGTGATACTACCAACTGTGCTATGACAGTCTGCGGGGTTTTTAGCAAAAGCTCTCGCTCACAAGACCGATAAGCGCGAACTGCTCGAAACTTGCCGCACAGGCTGCCCATTGCTCATCAATCGCAATGCCCGCTGCTCATTGCTCAGCTGACTCTCATTATAGAGGCTTATCATTCATCGATGAGCCAACGCTTGCAATCCGCAGTCAGTGCGAAAAGCTCAAGTCGAGCACTCCATGGAAGTTGGACCTGTCCACAAATCTAAGGCACGTGGAGTCCAACCTAACGCCATTCCACCGTCAATGGGCTAATGGGTGTACCCCCCGCGTCGAGCGATCCGCATAACCTAACCCAACCCAACAGAAAGCGCGTAGAAGTTTTCGGCAGTCTATCGAGAGAGGAGAGAAGATGTTTAAGCTAGTTGGGTGCAATAGGGTGGAAAATTGTAGAACAATTTTTATGTGAACGCTAACTAATCTATTTTGAAAGATCGTTAGGAACGCGTACAGGAGATTTCATATCAAAATACACTTCTTAAGTTTTTGAAGTACCCATGGCCAGAAACTACGATGGAATGATGGCCTGAATAGGATTGGGAAACCAATTTGATCCACTTTAGTGCCAATTAATTCAAGCAGCTAAGAATTAGAACAAGTCATATAGTCATATAGTTATATTACAAAGTTTGCTTAAAGTAATCCCACTACTTAAATTTCTTAGCTTGTAATATCTACAATGGGGGAATTTTATTTAAGTTTTGATAACAATATTTTAAAGCTCAGAGCTTTGCCGTTTTGTTTATTGACATAAGAAAACAACAAAGTGCGCAATACTCGATTCGCAGTGTAAAAGCCGATTAAATGAGTTGAAGACTCCTCCTGATTATTTGGTCAGCTCTTGGTGACGAATCGGTAGCTCTACGTAATAAACTGCCTTTGGCATGTTATAAGTCTCTGGAAATCTAAGAATTTGATTCATACGGACAGGCAGACGGACAGCCAGTCGAACGAAACCCATATACTCTTTTACTTTGTAAACAGAGTATAATTGGATTAAAGTCGTCAACATTGGAAAGATACAAATTGGATGCTACTAGCCAAGCTAGGTGCCACAAAATGCATCCGATAAAGTTAGTCAAACAAATAGTTTACAATAAAAATACATTTTCCTCTGGCAAGCCGAAGGCTCTCGCTGCTTGCTCGCGCATAGTCCGCTGGAAAGTTGGATGGCCCGCTATAATGGCAATGGAGACGGCCTCGTTGCCGGGCACTACATGTGACGCCAGTTGGTCAACATCCAGGCGCACCCTGCGCGCCGTCTCTTTGTAGCGTAGCTTTTTTTGTAGATGCTCACATAGCTCGTTGCAGTCAGCGGAGCCGCATCTGCACTGTTGGTGTGCCAGATAGAGGCAGCTGCGGTAATTCCAGTATTGGTTGAACTCGAGCAGGCGATCCCGAAAGTAAACGTGCTGCAGATTCTGTGCACATATCAGATGCCGTATGCGACTCATGTCATCCTCGTTGTCCAGCACCTGCGCGACCAGCGGCAAAGTGGGCGCAATGGCCACGCCCTGTGCTATAATGTATATGCATTTGGCAGCGCTCACATCATGCACATAGTTGCCAATGGGGCCGCGAAACTCTAACACTTGCAACGGCACCAGTGCTGCCAAATATTCGGACATGTGTCCGCCCGGTTGCAGCTTGACCAGAATTTTGAACTCTTTGGCTATAAAGTCTGTCCAGTAGGGCGAGTAGGGACGCAGCAGCGGCACAGCATGCCCAGTAAGCACAGCGCGTAACATAACATGATGCCCCGGTGGAATGTCCAGTATACTATCGTCGTTCTCCTTCTCATCCACTGCGTAACCAAAGTGCAGCAATCGAACTTGTGCATCTCCGTTGTGCGCCTCGTTACTAAGCAGCTTGAATCTGGCATAGCTAAGGATGACATTCCGCTTGCCCGCCAGCAGTGCACGTCTACTGGGCTTGGGCTTATTGTCAAGAATGCAATTGGTGCAGCCATTGCCGCAGCAGTCGCTTTCGTCCACTTCGTTCTCAGGCATGAGCATCAACTAGAGGTGAGCGATATTTGAGTAAATAGCACAGTAGAGTTGTCTAACTTGTAACCATTTTTGTATATATAGTTGCTTGTTATTAGATGATTGATATTTGTTTTATATACAAAAGCGTTTGAGCTAATTCTGATTATTAGCCGGAATAAGCGACATTTTGACGAATACGTCGCACAAATGTCATACGTACGAGCTACTTAAACAATATATCGTATGTTTTGTCACAGTTTTGACAACACTTGACTACTTGAATTGACAGATTATTACCCATCTCTATCGTATCGATAGCTCGTCGTCGGGATTAATCGTCGCTGTTCGATACCTTTCTGATAGGCAGATAAACAACAAAAATACTTAGTATGCCTTTTTCTAACAGTATCGCAGTGTGTAAATAAAACATTTAAAGACATCTAACAAAATTGAACAAAGAATTCTACGTTATTCTCCCCTCGGAGCGCCAGCAAGATAGAAAGCATCAGACAGCTGCAAAAGGCAACGTCGGCAACAATAATGTGCAACTAGTGGCGGACGTCTGCATCAGGATCTGGATCTCAGGAGATATCAAGCACAGATTAGCAGTTGCCAGCGTTGTATTCTGGCTAAGGGAACATGAATCTTGAATCATTATTTCGTGATTTTAACCCCTGGTAAGCAATGCAAACTAGCAGCTGTCCACTTTGTACTCAATCCAAAACATCTTCAGTAAATTCATAGTGCACTGCAGCCTATTCACGTTCGTTACGCTATTTGCGCTGCGCCTTGATGGATACATAGGTATGGAAAACACTTTCAAACCAAAACGGAACTATATATTACGAATTACAGATTGGCCATATTGGGCTATTTTTACGCCGTTGTGGATTTGGAAATGCACTGCCATACTAGGCGCTATAGTGGGCGCCATTGTCTGGTGCCGTTATCCCCACTATCGGCTCGAAGGCGACTCGTACACGCAGTTCAAGGCGATGCTCATCTCCTTGTCGCTGCACCTTATATTGTTGATGTTTGAGTTGTTAGCCTGCGACAAGCTCACCTCGGAGCGTCATCTCTGGGTGCTGGTCTTTATACCGCTCATCTTCGGCTCTGTTGTCAGTGTCGGCGCCTGTGTGTGGGCCGTTAAGCATGATCGCTCCTTTGAGCTAGAGCTGTTTTTGGCTGTTAATGCGTTGCAGTTTGTATCGCTACCGCTTAAATTGGACAAGTTTGTTTACTGGAACTGGGATGTGGTGTTTGTGCCCATGTGGATTGTCATTTGCCTGAGCTTGGTCAGCGTCCTCTACAATATAATATTCTGTGGCATTATGATGCGCACACCTGAAGTGTCGTTGCAACAGAAGAAGGCGGCACTAAATGCAGCTGTTGGTAACATTTGTACCGTCCTGCCGTTGCTCTGCTTTCAGGTAAATTGCAATCTTATCAACTTGCATTGTCGTTATTCTCAACCACAATCTTATGCAGGTGGTTATCTGCGACAAACTGGATGGAGAGATTAAGTTTCCGTACATTGTGGTCTTCGCCCCACTGCTGGTCTCTATACTTGCACTTATTATCTTAAGCTTTACCGCGAAGGGCGGCAACATGTGGTGGTTTGGCATACGTAAATCGTTTAGCCAGTTTCTGCTCTCGGCCATGCCATTTCTACAAGAGTATGGGAATATTAGCTATCACGCGGAAACTCAAAGCAATGCGGGCCAATCAGTGCCGCTGGATGCATCCTCATCAACAAGCAACATGGCTGTCACAGAGCCGCTGCACGAGTTTAGCAAGCACGACAAGAAGAGCAAGAAATCCGCCAAGAATGATATTATGAAGCCCGTGGTGCCATTCATTAGCATTGATTTGCCTGATTAGAAAGTGAGAGAGAGAGAGAAAGAAAGGGAGATATGCGATGCAACGCCGCACATATACAATAACTAAAAACAATAATAAGCATTGCTTGCAATGTTATCACACGAAACACACACACACATATATATATATATAAATATATATATTTATATATGTACACCTATTCTTAGGTGTTTAGCTTTAGGCACTAGCATACATGCATACAAACTTTGGCCGTAGCTAATTCGTACTGAATTTCTTTTGTAAGCCTCCTCGCTCTCAGCAGATCGTCCGCGCTACACACACACACACACACACACACACACACAAACACCCGCGCAATCAAGCCCAGGTAGTGCTCTTTAATATACAAGCATGCATATAATATCTGTACATATATTCGGCCTGTATTTTTTAAGCAGTTTTCTCTTAACTTAAAATCACAAAAACTTGAATATATACTATATACATATTTATATATAAATACCCATATATATTTTTAGCTTTTCGAACAAATTGTAACTCATACCGAGTGAATTGTGAATTCTTTTAGCAATATTTTATAATATGCATCATTTGTTGGGGTTCAGATTCTTTTACCTTATATATGTGCAAGTATTATATTGGTGTATGCATATTTTTATGTTTTTAAGGGTTTGTACATTTTAAAAGAAATTGTAAATAATTAACAATACAAAATTAAAAATCTCTTAAGTGCTTCCAACTTATGTCCTTTATTTGGGTGTTGTTGTTATAAAAGGGCTTATAATCAAGATTCATTTTTAAAATTTTTTCGTGAGAATCTACATACCAAAATCAGACAAACAGTGAGAGGCATTTTTGTATCCTGTTTTAGATCAGTAGACAGGTAATTCAAATTGATATTAATATGTATTAATCTTTATTCAAATTAGGAAGCTACAAAGTTTTACAATTTTTGTTGACATATATTCTTACTTAAGTTACTTACGTTGTGTTGCCTAAAAAGTTATGCAAAGGTAAAAATTTGCACTCTAAAAAGTATCAAGTACATATTATCGTTTGTTACGTAATATCATAAAACATATCTATATAGCAGTTGGAACAGATGAGAGGCACTCGAATGACAAGTTGATAAGGTACAACAAAATGGAAAACATATTAATTTATGGCATGTTTTCAACATTTATAAAAATGCTGCATGGAGAAATATAAATGTTCGTTAGTTCGCAACTTGGCAACAATACTACTAATATATATGCTTTCAAATTAGAGTTAATTACAGGATGCGCTGGTATATGCGATTCGTTTTACACTGTGTGTGTGCGTGTGTGTGTGTTAGTTTTTTAATTTTCATTGGTTTTCTTCTTATTTTTATTTTGTTTCTGTTGTGTTGCATAATAACAATTGTTTGCTTACCTTAACAATAGGAAATACATAAACAAGATTTATATTTTCTGAATGCCTTACTTACACTTTCACCTCTCCAGGTGAAAATGCACATTTATACAATGATTTCAATAAAAATATTCCTTGCTGTGTATAGTACAAAGTTATTACGTAATTTTCAATTTGAACTTTCGATTCAATATTCAGCTAAATATTTGAAGAAAAAAAAAATGCACCTATAAAATATACATTGTATAGCCCTAATTGTTATTAATTATTTGATTAGATATTGTTATTTCAAATACAGAATTCAAAATCAAATCAATTGCTAATTGAAAAATGCTCAAATCATCATATCATATTTGATGGTTCTTTGTATCTTTCATTTCATCATTTCGAGCTACATATGTACGCTATTGTTTTTGTTGTTGTTATTGTTGTAAGTACAATTGTTCAATGTTTTCTATTTGTTTAACATATTTCGTTAGTTGTTAACACGATTTATATGCAGCAGCAGCTAAAATTGTGGCTTATACTATTTTATTTGTTTTCGTAATTTCTTTAATGATGTTCGTTGCTTGTCTCACCTTAAATGGCTATTGTCTGAATTTGTTTTTCTGGTTTTAGAATAAGTGTGTAATACTCCTGATAACACTGGTGAGTCGGAGAGCGCTACATAAACCATAGGCCCCCCTTTTCTTTTTTTTTTCAATATTTCGAATGTATAAACGATATGTACCGCTAACGTGTTATGTATTATGTGTATATATATATAGATGTGTATATGTATATATAGACTGTAGTTCCAAATACATATTGTTTTTAAACCTATGCCTAACAAACGCTTTCCATGACAATTGACATGAGATCATCAAAGAACAGCAATGGCCAAAATTGATGCGTTTTGTGGAAACTACTAGTTAATTTAGAATAAAATACCTAAGTTAACTGACTATTGGGTAGGTTCAAGTACATATACATATATACGTAGGCATGTTATACAGGTATATACTCCACAAAGGTACACATTATTTTGAATATAAATAGGGACATATACTTTATATTTCTGTATTGAGCACAATTGAAACAAAAATAAAAAAAAAAAAATCAAATAAATAACATTTCGACTTAAAAATTTCATCTAGACCAATATAAGTTTATCTATTAGGGCAAAACGGTTTGAATACCTGTGTTCAAAGGGTTGCAAAAGAACTCTATTCAACATTTAGCTATACATCTCAACTTCGGCATATTGGTTTGCTCGTTAACCCTTCGTTCAATATTAAAGCTAAAGACACCAAATTTGGTATGTTAATAGATCAAATTTGTTTCAATTTTAAGAATTATATATATTTCGTTATCGTATACTATCTTAGAATTTACGTATTGAAACAAATATGATGGGCAATATATTTATATAAAATGAAACTCGTTCAAAAGATGAACAGCATAACGTGTTTACGAAATTGATCTATAATTAGTTAATACATATGTCCCTTAGCTGCACACCTATGCATGTATTAGACTTATGCCAAAATTATTCAATAACACTTATAGACTTTTTGTATGAAAGATATTTAAACAGATGAGCAGCCTACAGGTTCACATGCTTTATTTGGATGACGTTTTTTGTGGAATTCGATAAAGTATTTCTTAAATAACTCGGTTGATTTATGTCGCACAATACTGTTTAATACAACATGTTTAATTTACTTATGGCGAAAAGTGGAACTTTTGGATTTTGTACGTATAGTTAACATAATGCCGTATAAATCGTTAATCGGGTTTAATTAACTGACAAATTGGAACTTTTTGAAACAATATAAAATATTACATTTTCATATTCATTTCATTTGGTTATGGAAGCGCTAGTTTTGAATTAATGACACAAGAAAAGAAATTCAATTGAGTTGTACGTTTCGTCAGAGTGACATTCTATATAGGTGCAATACATTCTATATACGTATGGTATTACGATTATGTGTCTGTGTTAGTGTGTGTGTACAATTTATAAATTAAGAAAATTAAAAGTTATGGGCTTAGTTAATTTTAGGCTTAGCGGCCAAATACTGCGTTAGATTCTCACGCGGTCCCTGCACAATCAGCATGAACTGAGATGGAAAGTCCCAGATAATGGTAAAATGGAACAGCATATTGGCAATGGCAATCAAATATTCAAAGAATGCAAACCAACTGAATGCTGTAAAAGATAAAGATACATTATTATGACTGTTATTAGAGTGGCTAAAACTTACGAGTTGGGCGCGTGACATTTAAAAAAAGAAAACTACGGCACAACTAATATCGATTCGACTCGATTCGAATCTGAATAGATTTACCGCGACAGAGCAAGAGAGGGATACAGGTAATAATTGCCTTTAAAATGATGCAGGTAATGAAAAAAAAATTATTGGTTTCGTGTAAGTTTCATTATCAAGACTGAGCTATCACAACTCATTCACGTGCCCAACTTGAAGCATAGCTTTGTAATTGGCTCACCCAAATCATGGCAATAGAAACGATGTTTGGCAAAGAAGACCAAGAGACCAATGGTGCTCAGTATGGAGACAACAAAGAGTATTTTCTTCCATTTGATGGACTGAATCTGTTGTGCGTTTAGAGTTTTGCGTGCATTCAATATACCATTCAGATGAATGGTAGCCAGCATGTAGCACAGCGAGCAAACCATAAATGTGATAAAGATCCTCTCATGAACGGCTGTAAATTTAATAGTGACCATTAATAGGTTAATGCGAGCCGAAAAAATAATGATGTTTAGCTTACGATAATTCTCGCGATTCGATATATAGGTCACTCCACCCAACGCCGCAATCTCAATGCAGTTTAGCACCAAAATTAATGAGATTAACCAGCTTGTCTTTGGCACCAGCGACGGGGCAAGCCGCGCCAGCTGGGCGCGATAATAGTTCTTGTAGACAAAGGCAATGGGTATGCGCGGCCCGATGTGCAGCGCAATGCTGGCGCGCCAGAAATAACGCTGCGGACTAACGCCAGTAATTGCACTTATCGAGGGAATTATATTGTAAACCTGCACAGATACAAATTTGGTATATTAGCAAATATGATTGCTTCAAATATTTTACACTCCAGCTGGACATACCCGGCAATGTGTCTCGTGTACATCGTCGTACTGGAATATGTAGGCGGTCACAAAGCATGTAAAGAGCGTTACTAGCGGCAGCAGGGCCGTCACCACGCAGATCTCATGGAAGCTGGCCAGATAATGTATGGCAATCGGTTGCTCATGCTGCAGTTCCTGTTGCTTGCAGCTCGATGTTGTTTCTTCCTGTTGCTGTTGCTGCTGCTGCTGCTGTTGCTGCTGCGGCTTTGAGGCGGCGTACTGTGAAAGCGAGAATCAAGCAAAGTTTTAGAACAGATACATAAGATCTTACGGGGATTTGAAATATGAGGTGAACACTCTTTGACGAATTGGCGCTTACCTAGCTAAAACCCTGGAATACATTTTCATGATGAGTTTGTGGTTAGGTGCACAACAACAAAAAGCTCTATAATAAAATAATAAAAGAAAAATAAATGTATGTTTATATGAAAATCATAAATAAATATGTTTTAAATATAATTTAATGAGTATTAAAATATAAATTAAAGTGGCTTAATAAGTATTTTTAGAAATTACAAATCTTTAAAAAAATGTCTGCTGACGATAAAGTCGGGAAGTCATACAAACAGCATAAGCTATAGAAGAAGACATTCCCAACTTCGTAAAATATATATTCTCGATAAGTATAAAAACTACGAAACTTTGCATAGGTCCGTTTATATATCACAGGCAAAGTCAGTTGGAATCGGCCGATCCGGATCTCTCCGTAAGCCATATGTTTACAAGTGTATCTGAGCTTCGGCTTCTTCCGAAGATGCCCGAATACTATAAAAAACGTGAATAGTCGATTGTCTTGAAGTATCTCGTATAGTTATTCCTATAGAATGTTTATGGGCTTCAAAAAAAGTGCCCGCTTCCGGTCAGAAAAGCGAAGGGAAATTTGTTTGCAAAGCTAAAAACAATATATTTGTACGTGTCTGTATACATTACAGCTAAATAGTTGCAATTGTTTACACAAAAATGTATTTTTGGAGAATGTAATGCTATAAGATTTATACAATTATAGTCTAAATTTAGAAGAATAATCTTATATATTTTGCAGGTTGCGCAATAAAAAAAAATATTTAAACAGGCAAATATTGTCGTAAAAAACAAAATTAAGAACTTCATTAAAAACTGAAATCAATTTGAATAAAAACTTTGATTAGAATGGAAAGCAGAAAACAAACTAAAACGACAAACTTGAAGACAATTAATTGATTATAAACTTTCATAAATGATTAAATTTAGTCAAGTGAAATGAAATGAAACTGTTTTAGTAATAAAACGAACACAGATGGCCAAAATGCTAAATACAAAATTCTTCCTCAATATCATGATGTTTTCTTCAAGCTAATAGTGAATTAAGTATTATTTATACTTAATTGCAGATAAGCCCTATTTGGTCTTAGATTAAGTATAAGAACTCTTGACTTATAAACTAATGTAATTAATTAAAGCTTTAAGAAATCCCTATAAGACATTCAAGTTGGCATTGTGTTTATTTTGGGAATTCAATTCAATTCAACTTAATTGAATAATTGAATTGAATAAAATGCAAGTGGAAAACTTTAATTAAGGCGACAGCAAAATGACAAAAACTGTCTAATGGCATTTTGTCAGCCTTGAGCGATGCGCAGCACGCGCTCCTCCAAAAAGGATTAATGCCAGAAATAGTCAGCCAAGACCTGTGTCTGTGTGCGTGTGTGTGTGTGTGTGTGTGTGTGAAACGTAAGATAGCCCTGACGTAATCAGCACGGAACTGGCATTGCCGCAGGCTCTGACCAAATTATTTAGCACGAAGCACAAGTACAAGTGCGAGACGTAAGAAATTAAATTGAATGTTTTCGATTTTCGATTGAATCAGAACAACAACAACAACAAAATACTTGTTGTAACTAACTGTAATAGTAAGTAATAATGAAAATAAAATAAGCAGCAATTAACAAACGACAGCAAGCACTCAAGTCTCAATGTGGGGCAAAGGGGGCGGCGGCGACGCACACAAGCACATTTAGCTGCACAGATGTTTAGCGAAAAGCATGATGCAGCAGATGAAGAGAAGAGGAAGAAGAAGCAGCAGCTTAATGTAAAATGGTTAAAAGCAAATGGTAAACAAAATGTATATTGACAAATGCCGGAACAGAGTCATAAGCACAAGAAAGCAGCAAGACGCAACACACACGTGAAGCGGGGGCGGCAGGAGGTCAATGTGGGCCCAAGTGGGTGGCATGCGCAGCAGCGCTTAAGTCGAGGGGGCGGGCGGGCGGTGGTATTGGCACGTTTACCGAACAACCTGACAGCGGAAAATTACAATAGCGAAAACAAAATGAACAAAACAGAACTGGGCTAGCAATAACAATTGCCCAGCTCGTGACGTCTGCGGTGGGTTTAGTGTGGTGTGTGGGTGTGTGGGCGTAAGCGGGCTGCAGGGGTAAGGTCAATAAGCGTGCGCTGTCATTGAGTTATATAATGGCTAAGGCCGAAATTGATGTCCGCAAGAAAAATTAAAGCTTAGCCTGTGATCTGCAATTGGAAAAAACTAATAGCATGGCACACATTCGCACGCACACACACACACACGCACGCACACACAAGCGCGCGCGCTAGCTGGTGAAGCTTGTGTACACACAACACACACACACTTGCACTCACCGCTGGACCACTGGAGTTGCCACGCTCGCCGCTCTTGCTCCTTGCATTGGATCCGGATGCTGAAGCTGGCGTCGCACTTGAAATTGTCGCGACGCTATCTAGTGCTGTTGTCGCTAGCGATGCTCCTGCTGGCGCTGGCGTTGTTGGATTTATTTTCTGCATATTTGAAGGCAGCGTTGATGCTTTTTAGCATAATTTGTACGCCACGCTGCTAGCGACGAGTGTATGGCCCCGCGCGAGCTTGTCTCACTTATTTTTGTAATCAAATTGCCAATGGATTTTCACTTTTTCATCTTTTGGAGCGTGAAGTAGTTTTTATGTCAGCCCTCTGTTACACTCGAAGGTACTATTAATGAGTAACATTGAGAGAGCACTGTGCACGAGCATTTCACTGTTATGTTAAATATAGGAAACATTGATTTAACAGTTCTGTTAGCTCTATACTCATTTTATTTCTCACTCACCAGTGCTGTCAACTATCGATTTCTAAGGAAGACAGATCAACATGAAAAAGCCAAAGTACATTTTATGAATGGCAAATTCAATTTTTTGTCGGAATTAAAAAATTCTGCATAATTTGCATCTATGATTAAATACACATTTTCATTAAAACGTTACCAAATGGACACATTGGCTTCCAATGTAACGTTCAATCTGCACAGATATTCGCAACTTCTTTAAAAATTGCAAACCATTTTAAACCCAAAACAAAACATAATAATAATTTTTACAAAAATAAAAAAAGAAATCAGTAATATGCAATAAAAAAAAAAATAAAACTAATGAAAAGAACACCAACATATATTCCGGCCAACACATTTAAAAAAAAAGGCTAAAAGGCAAAATATGTTACAAAATAACAGAAATGTAAACGCAATGTAAACGTAATTCACCTGCATGCCATGTTGCTTACGTTTTAACGTCGATAACGATAATATCGATACTTTTCCTGTACAAGCAATAATTCTTTTAAAGAGTCCAACATTCAACAAGTGCAATTGTAATCAATAACAAAATAAATTTCCATTAGCTAATTAGCTGCCAAATCGAATTAATAAAACGTCAATGAATCATAGCACAATACGTTGAATGCTCTTCAAGCCTTAAAGAGCCAACGCAAAAATACCTTAACATACATACATCCAACATATTGTAGAAGAGATTCCGACTAATGCATGTTTTCATAATTTGTTAATAATTGAAATTATAAATAAATAATTAAAAAACGATGAGTTGCTTTAGTGCAATGAATACACCCCTATTGGGGGAAATGGAGCAGACAATTTGCATGCTAGAACGCGGAACAATTGTAACGAAACTATATGGAAAACAACGACGCCCCGATCGGCGACACCTCATGCTTATCAGAGAAACCCGTCAGCTGTTATGGTCCACTGTCGCGGCACAGACACGCACCGAATACGAGGGAACAATCCAGTTGCGGGAGATACGCGAAATACGCGTCGGCAAGAACTCAAAGGAGTTCCGACTCCATGCCGATGACTGCCAGCGTTTCGAGAGCAGCAAATGTTTTGTCATTATGTACGGCAACAGTTTCAAGCTGAAGAGCTTCTCTGTGGTGGCGCTCTCGGAGATCGAAGCCGATAACTGGGTACGGGGATTAAGGTATATGGTTAAGGACACCATTCATTCGCCGTATCCACTGCAAATCGATCGTTGGCTGCGGCGTGAATACTATTCGTTCGAGAATGTTAACTCGCACCTGACCAAATCCGACCAGAGCTCCCAAGTGACCATCAAGGATTTCAAAACATTCTTGAGCAACGTTAGTTGCAAGATGAGCACAAGTAAATTTATGGAGTGCTTTACAGACGATATAAAACGCAAGCATGATCTGAAATTCGACGATTTCTCGCGTCTGTATCAGAAACTCTTGCTGCCCGTTAATTTCGTCAATGTCCTTGGTAGTACGCAGTTCGCTTATTCGGAGGACAAGAAAATAGTAAGGCCCATTGAGTTTAAACGTTTCCTGGAAATTGAACAGCACGATTTGAATGCCTTGGAACTGAATAGTATATCTAGTTTTATGCGCGACTTTGTGCAGGACGTTGAACGCGATGTGCAGGAGCCATATTTAACCATCTCCGAGTTTGTCGATTATCTCTTTTCCAAGCAAAATGATCTGTGGGACGCAAGATTCGATGCCGTCTTCATGGACATGAACCAGCCGTTGTCCTCCTACTGGATAGCCTCATCCCACAACACATATCTAACGGGTGACCAGTTCTCGAGCGAATCCTCTTGCGAGGCCTATGCACGTGCCCTCCGCATGGGTTGTCGCTGCATCGAGCTAGACTGCTGGAATGGCCCTGACAATTTGCCGTACATATTCCATGGTCACACCATGACCTCAAAAATTAAGTTCATGGACGTCATCAAGACCATTAAAGATCATGCATTCACCACGTCCGAGTATCCAGTAATTCTATCCATCGAACAGAACTGCTCCTTGGAGCAACAGCGAAATATGGCACATGCGCTGATTGAGGTGGGCTTATCAGATATTCATATACGAATCGTAAATGACATGCTTATATCTTCTGTTCCAGGTCTTTGGAGATATGCTGCTCACACAGCCTTGCGATCGAAATGAACTGCATTTGCCGTCGCCCAATCAGCTGCGTCGCAAGATAATTCTAAAGCACAAAAAGTTGCCGCAATTCGATGAAAATGTTAGTGCAATTAATTTACCTGCGGTTGGTGTTAATAATGGAACGATCGCTTCATTTAGTCACCGGTCTTCTCTGGGTGGCGCGACGGATGATAGCGAGAATTTGCAGAAAATCCTAAAGAAAGGCTTGCTGTACTTTAAGGACCCAGTCGATAAGTCGTGGAACCTCTATCAGTTTGTGCTCACCCAACAGGAGCTTATCTACACATCCGAAATCAGCGAATGCCGCAACGGCAATTCAGAAGATGATGATTTCGGACTGTCGTCCTGCACGCTGAATAGCAATATGCAGCAGAAACAGAAGGATACATCGGCCAATGATGAGCTGCATTTTGGTGAAAATTGGTTTCACGGCAAGTTAGAGGGTAAGTGTTTCAATTTTTCAATTATTTAATCTATCAAATTTCCGTGCTCCGAGCAGTTTTGCAACTAGCTCGATGCAACTTGGTAGGCCATGCCGTATCGGAGCAGCATATGATATAAAGCTGTTAAAGGAACCATTGCTCGATGACAGCGCTTTCATTTTGTCATGAACCTATTTTCAGTTTAACATGATCTCAACAAAATCAACCGCTTTACTTCAAATAATCTAGCTTCTTTCCAAATAATAGCTTCTTTCTAAATAAATAATCTAGCTTCTTTCCATACATACAAACATAAACAACATGGGGGACCGAGAATGTTTCTCTCCGTCTGCTTATTCATTTCCACGAAAACAATTTGTCCCTTTTGCCCATTTGTAACAGGTTGAGGGTATAATAAATATGCTCCCAAGATAAAAGCTTATCCGCATCGAACTACATTATAATTGATATTATTATAAGATAACATGATTCAGAAAGGTTTTCGTTTTGCATTATTATTTCTATTGGCATCTTTTTATTAGGTGGAAGACAAGAGGCGGATCAGTTGTTGGAAACTTACAAACACCTTGGCGATGGCACATTCTTGGTGCGCGAGTCGGCCACGTTTGTGGGGGATTATAGCTTGTCCTTCTGGCGGCGCAATCGGCCCAATCATTGCCGTATTAAGCTGAAACACGAGAATGGCTCCATTAAGTATTATCTGGTTGAGAACTTTGTATTTGATTCGTTGTACTCGTTGATTGTGTACTACCGCAAGAATATGCTGCGTAGCTCGGAGTTTTCCATTATCCTCAAGGAGCCAGTACCACAACCAAAGAAGCACGAGAGTCAGGATTGGTTTCATCCAAATACCACAAAGGAGCAGGCCGAGCAGGGTCTGTTAAAGCTGGACATTGGATCGTTTCTGGTGCGGCCATCGGTGCAAAGCGTCAATGCGTTTGTCATATCCTTTACGATAAATCGCAAAATCAAACACTGTCGGATCATGCAGGAGGGTCGCCTGTATGCCATTGACACAATGCAATTTGAGTCCTTAGTATCGCTAATACACTATTATATGAGGAATCCGTTATATCGGAACGTCAAACTCGTCCATCCGGTTTCCCAGGAGCTACTGCGACAGAGCCTAATAGAGAATGCCCAATTGCACGGTGAGCATAGCAATAACGATAGCTCTGGTGCCTCCAATTATATGGGCTCCAATCTGGAGGAATATGTCACATGCAAGGCCCTATACAGCTATAAGGCCGACAAGCCAGACGAGCTCTCCTTTCCAAAGCACGCGATCATAACGAATGTGCAGAGGAACAACTCGATGTGGTGGAAAGGTGATTACGGTGGCATGATACAACAACATCTGCCGGCTAACTATGTCAAGGTAACCAATTATTCTTATTCTAAACTTTTGATTAAACAAATGAACCTTCTCTTTCCATATTTTATAGGTCATTGATTCTGCAACTGAGGATTACAATTCGGTCACTGAGGAGGGCAACGATGGGCGCACCGATTCAATTGAGATCTATGGCGCAGTGGCGTCTCTTTTCGAGTCAAACGAGCCTGGAATTATAATAAAGCTGCAGATCCAAACGCCAACGATGCAAAATCCATTTATAATCGGATTTGACAACCAGGAGACGGCCTACGAGTGGATCAAATCCATACAGGACGCAGCACTAATTGCTAGTCAATTGGCCACAGAACGACGTAAAAAGGAGCGCACGGCACGCGTGGCCAAGGAGATGTCCGATTTGATCATCTATTTTCGCAGTGTACCGTTCCGGGATCACTCTTGGATATTCCAAGAGATGTCCAGCTTTCCCGAAACAAAGGCCGAAAAGCAGTTTATACAACAAAATATGCCGCTCTTCCTGTCGTATCATCGCAATCAAATTAGTCGTGTATACCCGAAGGGTCAACGCTTGGACTCATCCAACTTTAATCCGGTGCCCTTTTGGAACATTGGCTCCCAAATGATTGCACTGAATTATCAAACTGGCGACAAGGCCATGCAGCTCAATCAGGCCAAATTTCGAAATAATGGCCAATGTGGCTACATACTAAAGCCAGTGTTTATGATGTCCGAGAATTTCAATCCCAACAATCCCTTGTCTGACGGCCTCATCGAAACGAAGGTTAGCGTGCGCATCATTGCAGCTCGGCATCTATTCCGCGGTGGCAAATCGAACAATCCGCAAATTGTTGTGGAAATCGTTGGCGCCAGCTTTGATAGCGGCATCAAATACCGCAGCAAAGTCAATGAGAACGGATTCAATCCCATTTGGAACGAATCCTTCGAGTTCACAGTGCACAATCCGCAGTTTGCGCTGCTGCGCTTCGAGGTCCAGGACGAGGATATGTTTGCCGAAACGCATTTCATAGCCCAGGCCTGCTATCCATTGACCTGTGTGCGCCAAGGCTATCGCAGCGTGATCCTGCGCAACAAGTTCAGCGAGGAGCTGGAGCTGTCCTCGCTTTTGGTCAATATCGAGATTTCAAATCGGGAATCTACTTAGTGCAATAACACAGCCCGAATTCAAGTATTTTTAAACACAATGCATACATATCACAAAACAACACGTACATACATATCTTACCCAACCACATATTAACTACATATACATACACATATCGCAGCTAGCATTACTTAACAAAACTACATTCTGCACGTGAAAGATTTTTACAATCTGCACTTGCGACAAATGATTTTCGCATTCCTTTACGAAGCTTATGTGTGTTTATGCCATGGACACTTCGCGAAATCAGTTTTTTAAGAGTGTGCATTTCATGATATGCTGCGTTTAAATTGTATTTATGCTAGCCAATTTCATGGAACGTAGCTAACGCCAATTCACGAATTCGATTTACACACGAAAGTTGACTATGTTTACGTTTATACGCCAAAATACTAGAAAGTGCTGCATAATATTTTTAATATATATTTATATTATATACATATCATGCTATTCCAGGAAGAATTGCTTAAAATGTATTACTGTCTAAGTGCAAAAGATGTAAACGGTCGGGAAAGTAGGACCGAACGGATTAGGACTAGCAAATTGTGACTGATACGCTGCAAGCCGGTTCGAATCAATGCCTCGCCCAGGTTTTAGTTCGAACATTAGTTCGCTACATTTTTAACAATTTTATATAGAGCACTTCAATTCTACACAATTCTCTTGATCCGGTATTAGGTAATTTTTCATATTCAAAGTACTTAAACAAGTCTAAGGGCAATGCCAAAAACTAACTAATTTTACAAGAACATTTTAAATCAAACAAAAAAATAGTTTTCTGGGTCAAAGGTAATCCGGTTTAAGGCTCGGTTCATGATACATATGAAATTGAAATTCCAGGTTCCAACCTTTTCGGCTTTATTTGTAGCCCAGCTTAAAAAAGATACGCCTGTCAATTATCTGTAGGATATCTCTCCATAACAAAGTGAAAAAAAGGGAAAAGCATATCAGTATTCCAGCCGTTCGATTTGCAATTTGACAATTTAGATTATTTGTAAATGTGTAAAAATAAACTCAAGGTGTACATTTTGATGGTATCGCCCATATAATTACTTATATATAATTTATAAGTGAAATGTGTTCATTTTAAAAATTGTTTTACTAATCAGTATTATGATTTTTCCTGACTTAGGTCAGTTACGTGCACAAAGCATAATTTTCACAGTGCAAGTCGGGCGTATATACGTATTAATGAAGGTATCAAGTCATTTGATGAATTGGTGAATCGCAACCTAGTTAATTTCTGTTAAAAACAATTCTAACAATTCATTCTGTGAGTTCGAGAACAATGTATTTGATGTGTTTATGCCACAGTTTTGACTAACGTTTAATTTAAAATCATAAAAGTTTGCTTGTAAATTCGCAAAATGAATGTGAAGTAAAGCAATTCACCTTTTCACTATACCAATGCCAACTTTCGCGTGAAAATCAAATTGTTGGAAAGCAATTTTAGATTGGATTCATGAAATTCAACTATTTTTAGTGCTTACATAACAGGCTTATCATAAGATCCATATTATAAACGTAGTAATCGCATGTAACATGAGCCGCAGCCAACTTAATGACATTTAAATATTGTGACGTCCCAAAAAAAAAAAAAAAAGAGTGGCGTGGTGGTAATGAAATCGTCAATTTCATAGTACAAACGTAGCAGCACTATCAAGCGAATTCCATAATGAGATTTAAGCACACAGCATTTATTAATGTAGTCATCAGAACGCGATTTGCACATAACTGAACTAATTTTGCTTCATTTTCTGTTATTTTAAGTTATTTTTTCGCATATATATTTATATATTATACAAATTAGAAATTGTATGTTAATACTGTTATGAATGTTTTACCCACATGTGTATATATACATAAATTATATTGTTTTATTCGTCAGTGCCAAATAAAGTTTTTACGGCGTAAGTGATATTCAATATTGTTGTTAATCTTCAATTTGTACACTGTTATACGAGATACTCGAAAATTGGCTTGCAACTTCGTAAATAGTGGGCTTCAAGTATCTTAAATTTGTTTGCAGTTTTAAATAGATCGTAGATCGATGGGTTTGTGCAGGAAGAAAATAATTGTATGTTGGATAAAAGTCATGAATTGTTATTTTATTATGTGATTTTTGTTGTTGTTTGATTTTTCTTTTTATTGGACAAATTGGTGAATGTGTGAAATACGTAGAAACTTTATCTAAAATTCGCGTCTATGATATTTGTCAGGATCAAAGTATGATGTAACAACAACGCGATCGCTGAACTTTCGGCCAGTCAATGCCTGTTGAGCCTTTTGACAATCGAGAACCGAGTTAAATTCGACAAACACTTTGCCGCAACCAGGAACTTCCACGCCCTCAATCGGACGCGGTATCTCAACGCTGCGAACGACGCCATATTTCGTGCACTCCTCCTTAATATCCTCCAATATATCCTCATATTCCTCCTCATCGCGCAGCTCATCGGGAGTGACCATGTTCAATAAGCAAAGCACCTCAGTGGGCGGACCAGATGTCACCACTGTCGATAAGCCCGGCACTTGCAACATAACCGACTGGCTGGTATTAGCGGCATTCTGAGCATTTTTGGCACCCACACTGGCACGCTGAACGATCAGTTTCTTGTCTCCCAACTGCATGCCATTCAATCCAGCAATTGACTTTTGGAACAGAAAAGAACAGTTATCATATTAGCATCTGATACATGACTAAGAAATATAACTTACCTGATCAGTAATGCTCAGATCAACGTATTCACAAAAGGCATATCCTTTACTCAAGCCGGTTGCTGCGTCCTTAACAAGGTTGAACGCTCTTAGCTTACCAAATGATAGCAACAATTCTTTCACCTGCAATGCAATAAATGGTTGTTATGTAATTATTGTTTAAGAGCACAGACACATATTATTTGGCAAGACTAATTTAAAAGAGATTTTACCAATAGAAGACTTTATATGCTGTTCACAAACTGCAAAACGGTATATTCGTTTTGCTGTTCGTGTACATTTTTTTATATTTAATCGCTAGAATAAAACTAAAGGAGAGCTTATGTCGCACAGTCTTAGAGGTAGGAAACGAATAGACAACTCATGACACCATCTAGGCTTAATCCAACTAACGCGGCAGCCGAGACAAGCTCACCCTCGTCTCACGTGGACCATTAGTGGTCCCACATTTTGTTCTCCCTTGCGCCTCAATGATTTAAAATGTGGCACTTCCAATCCGTGGCGTCGATGCCATTTGAGTCTTTACTGACAGATATAGATTCCAAGATAACGAATTGTAGTTTTCCAGTGTGCTGAACATGTGTCCTTCTATTTTCTCATCGAGCTTCTGCGGCAGAATATATGCAGATGCAGAAGAATGCTTCTTTGATTCTTTGACGCGTTCTTTGATGCCTGCGCACCTGCGCTTGGAAGACACTTCAATCAATCGGAAATCTAAATAATTTTGTAACTGCTTAATTCATGGCAGTAGACCCTGATAAAAATTTATTGGGCCCCGAGCGGCAAAAATAGCTCTCCATTCTATCGAGAGTAAAAAACGGGTGCGAGTTGCCATTGAATGCGACAGTAGTCTGTAGCTGAGGGAGTGACAAGAAATATGCGAGTCCATTTGGCAGAGGTGCATGCGAAACGTTGAGTGTTGATGCTGAATGAAGGAGGCCATCTGTCATGTTTGTACACTGAGTTTGTGGATATTTTTCCGAGAGTGCGACAGCAACATCGTCCGCATTCCATTGAGCGCAGCAGTAAGTTGACCGCTACGATCCTAAGGGAGGAGAGAGGATACCACTTGGTGGAGTGCCTCGACTCACAAACCTGGAAGTAGCCGACGATCCCAGTGAAGCCTTGACGGTCCTGCGTATCAGCAACTCATCGATAAGGTTCACGATCCGAGGGTCGACCTCCAGGCTCGCAATTGCACTGGTGTTTGTATGGGGGGGTGACCTTCTTGAAGGCTCCTATGTCAAGAATTGCGTTTAGGGTGAATTCCTTCTGCAGAAAAGATTTATCTATTATTGAAATGACAGCATGTAACGCTGATTCGGTGGGCCTGGCTTTCCTATAGGCGTGCTGTGAGTTTGAGAAGTAAGAAGGCATATGGAGCCCATCATCTTCAGAATGAAGGACAATCTTTGAGGGTTTTGTGAAAGGATTTACCTGCTTAAAAACCACATTAGCCACAAATCACGTTTCTGGGATTGCTCCAGTTGAACAAACTTTTTGGATGATATCTTTCAGCTATCTGATTGCATGCAGTATTTGGCTGGGATTATTTTGTCTGCACCCGGTATATGCAGGTCTTGAAGCTGTTTATTGCCCCACCTGATGTTGCTTTCAAACAGGTCACCGTATCTGTATAGGGCGTAGCGTATGGTCACCTGAAAGTCATTTAAAGTGAGTGCTTATATGCAACTCAGGTGTTTTCTTTTTGTTCGCTGCAATGTGTCCATGAGTCTTCGGGTTGTGCTTGCGTATCCAAGGACAGGAAGCATGCCAGAGCCAGGAGCATGTGCCCTAAGATTCGTAACCACTTTGGATCTTTGCAGTGTCGAGCTTGTTGCGGAACTCCTTATCAATTGGAATTTCTTATTCATTTGGTCTGCAGGGATAGTATGTTTGCCTGAGAGCTATGTCACATGCCAAGGCGTTATTTTTTTTTAACTGATTGTTACTGATTTTATATTCAACAACACTTTTAATTACTTTACAAGAGAAAGCGCTACCATTGTATAGCATATTTGCTTTATATTATACGACGAATATAATTTTAAATATATATGAACCTTTTCCATAAATTCAATTAGAAATAATCATTCTACTGTATTCGTTTTTTTTTTTAGCCTAGGGAAATATTGTATCGACAGCTGAGAGTTTTCGTCAACTAGACATCATATCAACCGAGGATTGCGCTTTCGGAAATTATAAATATTTTGGGTAGTACATTTGGTATTTCGATAATATGTATTAATATTTATATCCGTCTACTGTGTGTATCTGAATTCAGTGCAAAATAACGCGTACGGCAGCTAGGAGCTGAATTCTCAAGAGTTGAAACTTTTTATTATAAATGAATTTCATTAGTTACTACAACTATTTTTCTGTTCTTTTTTTTTATTGTAATCCGATCGGGTTAAAACTCAATACCCGGTTGAACTATCGTCCGATCGGCTTGAAAATCAAGTCTAACACAATTTTTTGGACCGGTAAAGGCGGCTAATATGAGCTGAAATTTGATCGGCAAACCCTGAATATTATTGTTTAGTATATCATATGCAAATCAAATTAGTTTTACATTTAAGATATTTCCATTTATGTATTACATCATATAAGTCTATATACATATATTCGAATGCATTTATAAATGTCATGGATACTTCATTGAGTTCTCTTATATTTCTTGCTCCAATTTCTTTATAATCCGCTTTTAAGCTTTCTTCGCTTACCTGTTCGTCGTTTAAATAATTGGGTAGACCTCCTATAAATATTTTGTGTGGTGAATCGGGCACCACTGTTGAGATAACTCCACTTGACACTATTAAATAGAGAGAGATTGTGTTAGTATTTGTGTGCTCTGAGAGGACAACTAACTGATTTTGGTGGACAACTTACCAACAGCGGGCTTGACTGCCGGCGTATCCGTGATGCCGGGCATAGGCTGGTAATCATGTGGGCGCCTTATTTTGAGGTCTTGTCCTTTTAAATTGATCCCATCAAACGCCATGGCCTGAGTGGTCTCATCTATAGATCTGAACTCGAGGAAAGCAAAGTTCTTGTCCAAATTAATTTGACATGCCAGCACTGGACTACCGGCGGCTTGTGCTAAACCAACTAAATGCATTTGTTGATTGAAAAACTCCATCATTTCCTCCTCAGTGACACCGAACGGAATGTTGCCCACATACAAGCGACGCGCCTGACGCGTTATAGTTGACCCCACCACGGGCACAGCTGTTTGAGGCGTATCTGGCACTACGCTGGCCGGGATTTGCCCAGACGCTTGCATCGCTTTGTACTGCATTGGTGTTATGTGCTCAAATCCAGGCGGCGGCACATCCCAATATAATGACGGCTTGCGGCGCGAGTTCCGGTGATGGCGACGATCCCTAGAGCGATCACGATGCCGATCACGAGATCGGGATCGATGGCGGCGCCTGTCGCGGTCACGGTCACGATCTGTTAATGTAAAACATACATTTATAGATTACACATACACCAACAATTTCCTAATCATATTATGTATGTATCTTAAATACCAAATATGTTTGTACCCATGCTTAAAGTCTGAACAAATGCCTTTAGGCTTGAAGTGTTAATTAACGTGTATATAAACTAGATATATTAAACTAGCTGAGCGGCGTTACCCGGGCCAAGTTTTCTATTTGAACCATTACAGGATTTAGGGCTATTCACCGTTTTTGTCTATATAGAGATTTTATATATATGACTCTGAAAATTATATATAGACTCTGAAAATTATTTACCTTTTCCCCTCGATCTTTTCTGCTTTGCTTTTTAATTTTAAATAGATGTAAGGGTTCTGACCATTATAAAGTTTAAGGTAAAGTAAAGTTATAAAATGTCGAATTGTCGTACTTAAAATATATTTGAAATAATACACGCTTGGGTTGAACTTCTATAGTTTATAGTTCAAAACTGATATATAGTAACAAATTTACTCAGTTAATTTCCATGAAAAGGTTAATTTCAATTTTAACTTAGCCAGCTTTTATAACACATCCATTAGCTGATAAAAGTAATATTCACAAATATTAATACTTGTCGGCACTCATTATTTGCATTGTTTTTTTTTTCGCAGTGGGAACTTAATTCTTGTAGGTACTGTACACGCTCCTACAACTATTTACATACACTCATAATCATACTGATGTTCCTATCACCGGCTTTAATTCCATGTACTGTAGCTCACATGCATATGAAAAACATAAGCTAATTTAAATAGTGTGTTGTATACTCACGGGGCTTGCGAACGTACACGCATACATATATACATTTGCACACACAGACGCACACACGCATACACATACACGAACACACACACATATACATATTTTTACATAGTGAAAACTGCCTCATCGTCATACGCAATGCGTTTATTTTGGTGGGAAAAAAGTATGCAATATGTCGCATTAATTACGCACACACATACATGCGCATACCAGAGTGGTACTCGGGCATATTGAAGGGATAGCATATATGAAAATTCAACAAATACACATACATATGTATGTACATCCATGCGTACGTATGTATGTAGCGCCCAATATGTCTGCCGGTGAGTATGCAAAATAACGATAAATAGTTAAATGATTTGAAAACTTTCAAATAAACAGCATTGATCATGTTTTACCAAGTATACATGTGCAGTCTAAATTGGCAAGCATTAGTACATTCGCCCATTCTATTTATGTAAACTTATGTACGTACATGCATGTGTAAATTAGCCGATGCCCGAACTTAAGCACATTGAAACACATATGTATTTTTAAGGCATGGGTAAGGCGCTATAATATTGCAACTTACCATCATATCCCATTATAATATTTGCACAAATATATTTTGACACGAAAAAAAATTTTAACTATAAAACAAAAGCCGATGAAATATGTATCCCTTTAAAATGCGAATGTGTATGTCAATAAATATCTGCGAAACGATATAAAACAGAACACGTGAAAAACTATGAAATTGTGAATTGAAACACAAACATGCATCAGGGTTGCACGGCATATTAAGTGATATCGATGGCTTGCTGGTAAATTGTTATCGAAATATGTATGTTATATATAAACTGATATATGTTTATATATACACTTTGTTTTGTTTTGTATTATGAGGTCAATTGTTGTCGGCTTTATTAAAAACTATGAGCATAAAGATATTTCTACCAACTGAATACTTCTATCTAAAGCGGGCCTGCAATCTATATGGCCAACTACACATTAGCGAGGATAATGTCGTAGTTTATTATGTGGTAGACGCTGACAACAATAAACTAGACTCGGACACAAATAAAATGCGTTTCTTGGGATCTATCTTGTGCAGTGATTCCTATGCGGACAGCAACTATTGCCGTTCACATGATGTCGTCTTATGCTTCACTTACAGCAACGATGCGCCGAACGTCTCGCTTATGTTTACTGGAATTACGCCCGAAAATCTGAACCAAGTTAAACTAATACTTTACGATAAACAAACAGTACGTAGTTTAGTTATCAAAGAGAACAACACCCTCGCCCACTGGACAAGGGAGAATCAAATTAATGACGAGTGCGATTTCTATATGCTGGCCCAGTTGGTTCAACCAAATCCAGACACGTGCCGCAAATCGAATGACTTGTGGTTCTATGGGAGTCAGTCATTGTGCTTGCTTGCAAATATTCCAATGCAAATGTTTCAATATGTTGTTGGCAACAAATTTATAAATAGTATAATAACCCACACAGTCATTTATAGACATTATAAGGAATGGCAATCGATCTATGCAGCGGGGTAAGATTTGCTTCAAATATTTCATTCATATTAATTGATTTATTTATTGATATATATTGTTCTCAGTTCCAGATTGTCGAATATTATGATAGATCGAGCATTGGGCATTATTTTAATGCTGATATTGTTTACGCTTGTTTCTCATCCAGGCGATTTTCTTATTCAGATCTCCCACGTAAGCTCAACGTTTTTATGGACGAGACACTGCTGTGTAACTGAAGAATCATACTTTATTTTTAGATTATTATACACCAGCTATATAGTCTTTTGAAGGTTTTGGAAGGTAGTCCCATCGGTCTCAAGCTTAACATACATTTGAATAATTTTTTTCTTGACTGCTTTAAATATCACATTGAACTGTGGTCCACCTTTTTGGGTATGCAACAATTATAAACGATGGCAATTTATTATTCGACAAACATTATTATTTTTCAATTCGTTTCAGATTTGATCGAACCAATTGTACGGCAGGTTTTCCTTGCCATCGGGGCATTTGGATGTTTAGGATTTACATATCAAATAGCATTGCTTGCCGATTTAATATCAATAGTTGGCTTACATGCTCATTGTTTCTACGTTTACACCAAAGTGTAAGAGCTAGCCAAAGTTTAAATATACGCTAGTTAAATATAATTTTACCAAATTACTTTTTTCAGATTGAATAACGTCGAAGTTAAAGGCCTGACGGTGTTATGGCAAGTGGTACGAGGCAATCGCTATAATATCTTAAGAAGTAGGTCTAACAAAAAGACTATCTTATTTTGATCAACATTCATTTTACGTTTTTTGTTTTTAGATAGAATCGAAGCTCATAACTATATGAATCGCCAGCTATACCTTGCAACAATATTCTTTTCTGCAATATTGTTCTTGTTTCCGACCACTCTTGTCTACTACGTTGTGTTTGCAACCGTAAGTTGATTATTATTATTATTTATTTATTTTTTTAAATGACAAGCTAATATCTTTTTATGATTACAGTTAAAGGCGCTCACTTGCGCTACGTTGGCAACTCTGGAATGTTTTCGCCGCAAGCTTTTAAATTTTCCCATAGAAATGTTTTTGAAATACATTAAAAAGGGATTCTATGAAATTGGTAAGCGAAACTATGATTTAAAGTATACACCTATTATTTCATGCGTTTTTTAAAAATATAGATTGCCTAAGAGTGCTGGACACTCCACTTCAAAAACCATTATATTTTATTTATCGAAATTCAAAATTAATCATTTTTGTATATAAACTCCGAGTTTAAACTAAATAAATGTACCTTATTCAACAAGTTTATCTGTAGTTTCTTTAAATTAGTTTCATTCCTCTTTGGGCTTGATTTTTTGGCTTAGACCTAGATCTATTAAGGAACTTTCTGTTTCAGAGTCTAAAGACCTATTTTAGGAAACATATAAATAAGTATATGCTATTAAGCTGTTTTGTCTCCTGACAAAAGTGGTTTGGAGGGCATGTTATTGATATATATTTTTATATAATTGCACTAAGTTATCATGGTCATATAAAATATATTAAACGTTTTTTAAATTTTTATCTAACTATCGGTTTCATTGCGTAAAGCGAAAAATATCTCGAGTGCGTTTCACATCACTATTTTATATCGATAGATCGAAGCGACAAAAACAACCCTGACAGATATAGAACTGTTTCGTTCCCACAATCATTGTCATTTCATTACGCTTCAGTTTCTGTACGGGGCTGGACGGTTGTGTAATTGATTTTTTTTAAAAATAATTTTTCTTCAATCTTGTAATGGAAAATTCTGTAAAAATGGACAATTCTGGCAATTCAACACCGCTGCCACAGCGCCAAGCAAGAGCTAATAATCAACCGAATAAAAATATCGGTAAACACGGCCCACAGAAGCAAAACGAAGGTGCATCAGACGGTGGCCCAGCAGAAAAACGGCAACGTTTTGGCCCGAACAATCAGAATGGTGGCGGAGGTAGCGTCGGCGGAGGTGGAGGCGGCGGCGGTGGCGGAGGTGGCCAAAATCAAAATAAAAATTTCGCGAACAAGGGTGGATTTGGCGGAGGTGGAAATCGCAACCGCAATCGTGGCGGCAATCAAAATAGGTCGAATTTTCAAAATCAGAATCAAAACGTAAGTACATACATATGAACACAAGTTTACACATATATGCACAATGTGTAATAAAAGAATAATGAAATTGCATTGAATTCGATTAATTACTGCCGCCGGCAATTTTCTAATACCATTCCATTGAACGGCCTAGACGATCGTGTTTTTGCATCTTGTACAAAAACAAACAACTTCAGGCTATAGTGTCAGTATGTTTGTGCGAGTGGTGTGTACACTCGAAAAGTACTAGCATATACAATTACAATGGCGGCCGAAAGGCTATGCTGAGATGCTGCTGTGTAAAATTCAAATAAAAACGTGGCAAGAAGTCATTGGGTACGAAATGTATTACTTATATTCGCTGAAAGCTATATGGATGCATATTAACATATGCATATTCTTTCAAATTGGGATTCTCCTTTGTTTTTTTGGTTTTTTTTTTTGTACAATATTAAGGTATGCATACACGCATACATACATATGTATGTACTTGTGTGTTTCTGGGCTGCCTAGATGAGATCTTGCATTCAAATTTATGTAATTCAAAAAGCAATAGCTATTGCAGTTCTGTATTGTTCTATGTGTTCGGCGTACTACAAGAGTGTTCTGCACAATTCACATGGCATACGTATGCCATGCATACACAAACCCTATGTACACTAGTATATGTTTGCGTCGTACAGTATGTTCGTGTTGTATCATTCATCTCGTTCGCACCAATGGCTTTCGAGTTAAAGCAGCTTGTGTTGTCGCGTTATTTGCTTGTCTTTTTTTTTTTTTTTAATACAACCGGCAAATGGCAAATGGATGGTCTCCATATTGAGAATTTTGTTAACAACCGTTGTGCGAGTTAAGGGTGGGCGTTTTAATATATAAATAAATGCATATGTGCACATGTGTTTAGCACATACACATTTGTATGTTGCTATGCACATACATATGTCATTAACCTTTCTTTAATTATTATCTTTGGGCACAGTTTGTTTAGGCAAACTGAAACCGTTTCATTGACTTGGTCCATTCTAGTGTTTGATCTAACTGTTCTTTTAAAATCTATGTTCGTGCGCAATTTGTGCTTGGGGTTCCGTTAAACGGGGAAAAAACTTCAAATATAACTGTATGGCAAGCTAAGTGTTTGTATGCACACGATTGCCATCTGATAAGGCATCTTGCACCAAAGATTGCAAGAAAAATTGTATCTTATGCGGTAAAAGTACAAATTTGTTGACTTGTTTGTATACGAAAAACGTCTTTTAACGAATTGCATTTCGGGTTTATTAAATCTTTTGTGTATGTTCTTAAAAATAAAAGCAAATATTAAAATACTTGCTCAACAGTTTATTGAAAACAAGAATAAGAAATTACGATTTGTGAAAAAAAAGTTTCATAAATTCAATACCAGCTTTGGTACATTTGTGCCACATGTTGCAACCAAACTTATGTGTATGCAAACATACAAACATAAGTGTGTTTGCCCTCTTTCCGCTATCTACAATGCGAAAAGTTGATGATTGCGCATATTTCCAGATGGTATTTGCACATTCAAAATACTCGCGTTTATTTAGAATCAAGATAAATATTTGAAATGCGATGGAAATAAAATTTATTTAATATTCTATTCTTTCGTTGCGGACTGGCAAATGTTGCCAGAATTCTCAAAGTACGGCTGCTCCAGTGTTGCCAATTCAGCATTTTTCTAGCTAAATTCGGCCATTTTCGGAGGTTGGCCGGAAACAGGGAAACCTAGTTTCTCGGCACGCCAATGGCAAGTGCAAGGAACGTTATTCAATTTGAGCTCGGAAAAAACGCTAATTAGCTATTTTCTAGCCATTTTTTGCATTCGATTTAGCTATTTCTTAAAGCGGCAATTGCTAACAACGCGCCGCGCCTTAAAAATTTGCGAATTAACTCCAAAACTAAGTCGGATTCATGGGTTTACTTTACAAATTCGACAGTTCTATATTAATCTATTCGCATTTCAGCTTATTGAGTTGAAAGACGAAGAAGAGAAGAGAAATTTTTATCAGATTAGCAGGTGATAGTCACCACCAAATTAAGTTGTACTGTAGCATTTGGTTTTTATTTTTTGCTAGATGTACCTTTTTTTATAATTTGTTTGAACATCAAAAGTTGTCGACATGTACAATAATGGTATTTCTCTAAACTGTAAGGCATAATTCTGTTGGTTGGGTTGAGAGGAAACTATTTAAAACATAAACAATTCTAGATATGTAAGTGTCTATATATATATGCTATATATATATACATATGCTGTTTCGCGCACTTAAACGTACATAAATTATAATAGCTGAACTGCAGCAGGCAAGTGCTTGTTAAAACTTTAGCAAACTTGTTTGCCAATAACAACTTAGCTTGTTTGTTGTTGAAGAGAACTGTAGTTAAACAATTGCGTAGTGTAAATCACATTTATTTCTTTCTTTATATACTCACATGAATATATATAATACACACATATATAGCAAAAGTCCACAACAGATGCACCAAAAGCGGACGGAGGAAATCTCAATGACAAATCTAACGAAGCTAACAATGCAAATCAATCCAATTCAAATTCAGCTGCCCAAGCCCAGGCACAACTTCAAGCGCAGGCCCAAGCTCATGCCCAGGCCCAAGCTCAGGCTCAGGCTCAGGCTCATGCTCAGGCTCAGGCTCAGGCTCAGGCTCAGGCCCAGGCTCAAGCTCATGCGCATGCTCAAAATCAAGCATTTAGGGCTCGCGGCGGCGGCGGTGGTGGAGGTGGTGGTGGTGGTGGTGGTGGTGGCGGCGGCGGCGCAGGTGGAGGAGGAGGAGGACGCGATAGGAATCGCGGATCGCGTGGTGGTGGCGGCGGCGGACAAAACTCTGGCGGCGGTAACAATTCACAGCGAGGCGATGACTTCTTTATAGCCCAACGGTTACGCAGCATTAGTGGTCCCACACATGAGCTACCACCGATCGAAGTCGCCCAGGAGACCAAGTTCTCTGGACGCAATCGTCTCTATGTTGGCAATTTGACCAATGACATTACCGATGAGGAGTTGCGCGAAATGTTTAAGCCGTACGGCGAAATAGGCGAGATATTTTCGAATCTTGAAAAGAACTTTACATTCCTTAAGGTTGACTATCATATTAATGCTGAAAAGGCCAAGCGCGCCTTAGACGGCTCAATGCGCAAGGGTCGCCAGCTTCGCGTCCGTTTCGCCCCCAACGCAACCATCTTGCGTGTTAGCAATCTGACACCGTTCGTGTCTAACGAGCTGCTCTACAAGTCCTTTGAAATATTTGGGCCCATTGAGCGGGCCAGCATTACAGTCGACGATCGTGGCAAGCATTTGGGCGAGGGGACCGTTGAGTTTGCCAAAAAATCATCGGCCAGCGCCTGTCTGCGCTTGTGCAATGAGAAATGCTTCTTTTTAACGGCCTCGTTGCGTCCGTGCTTGGTGGAGCCGATGGAGGTTAACGATGACAACGACGGATTGCCCGAGAAGGCCCTCAATAAGAAGCTGCAAGAGTTCAATCAGGAGCGCAGTGTTGGGCCCCGTTTCGCCGATCTAAATTCATTTGAGCACGAGTACGGCTCCAGGTGGAAACAGTTGCATGATCTATTCAAAAGCAAGCAAGATGCTCTCAAGCGTGAGCTCAAAATGGAAGAAGAAAAACTTGATGCTCAGATGGAGTATGCTCGCTATGAGCAAGAAACAGAGCTTTTGCGTCAAGGTTAGTATAACAGGGTAATACGAGTATCTAAATCAAATACATATTTAACTTCTGGCTAGCCGAAGTTTTTACACAATCTCTACTGCTTTTCAAGTGTGGTTCCCTTCCCAAAAGTGGATCCACCTTCAAAACACTGAGAAACGATAATAACGGAATAAGTCCATTTCGTTCCTTATCGTTAACTATTCTCTACTTAAAACTCGACTCACAAAGCTCAACTAAACTCATAGTTGGTTAAGGCTTTTTAGATTTACATATAATTGGGTGATAAAGTTGGGAAAATAAACGATAAAAGCAATTTGCTTAGTCAAAAACTATCTGAATATATCGATTATCGATAAATCGATTGCTTGTTGATCGATACCTTTTGACATTTTTATGTTTATGTTTACATTCTGTGAATATTATACCCAAGCTGTGAAGTGCAACAATGAACTATCGGCTAAAT